TCTCTAAGCTCCTGTAATGGCTGTAACAGGGCACCAGGGCCCTAGAGTGTGAGCAGGCCCACTGAGCCCAGGAGTCCTTTCCCTATGGTGGGCTAGACCCTGCCAGGTTGAGGCCCCTCCTCCACCTTCCTGGAGGCCAGGTGGGGACCTGGGATGAGTTTGTGAGCTGGAACAGGAGAATTTCTTTTCTTTTGTGATGATGGAAAGTGAAACATGATATTTTCAAGTTTGTGCATACTGATCAAGGATTTTGGTAACCAGCTCTGTTTCTGTAGTAGGAATATTTAAACCATCGTTTAAAATTTTTCTGTTGAGAATGAGACCCTGACAAATTATTTGTAACCAGTAATTCCTTATGCAGAAAGCAGTGAGCATAATGGTGAAACGTAATCTTACCATTGGAAAAATTTGGAACAATTGCATTTACATTCATTCAGCAGATATTGAGCATTTGTAATGTACTGGATACTCTACTGGGGCTGAATAACCAAATATGATCTAATTCTTAAAACTGGTAAGACTTTTAAATAAATTGGTTCTGCTATAAATTCATGTTTAAGAATTCAGGTAATTGGCAATAATTAGGATGCAGAAGCATTAAAAAATCCCAAAGTGTCTGTAAGCCATCTATGCAGAGGCCACCAGAAAGCTGAAAAACAAAAGCTAATTTTGTGGAACAATGCAATGGTAACTGTTTAATAAAGAAGTTCTGCTCCCTAAAGGAGTTTTTATTGTAATTGATAACAGACCTAAAGCAATACTGTAATAATATAAGTGATTAAATACTAAATTTTGTGGAACGAATTAATAAGTACTTGAGAATTGAGATAAAGGATCCGGCCCAAAGAAACCTGGTTGGGGAACTGCTTACTGGAGTTGGTGGGACTTGACCTGATGGATAAAATTCCTGGGAACAGGGGCAAAGGAGACTATCCCAACCAAGAGGGTGACCTAGTGAAGCCAGGAAAGAGGGGCTGTCTGCTTGCACCAAACTGAGGACATCTGGTGTAGAGGGCAAGTGAAGGGTGGAGCAGCAAGACAGTGTAGAGTGATTGAGCACAGGCCCTTGACTCCTCATTTCCTTCCCAGGCTCCTGGGCTATAAAATGTGAATAGTATTAGTGCCGACTTTCAGGGGTAACTGTGAAATTAAATGAGATGATGTAAAGTTCCTGGTGCGTAGAAAGTGTTCAATAGATGCAAGTTGATGTTGCTATTAGGGAGAATGGATGAGGCCAAACCACAGAGGGCAGGACTGCTGGGTACGTGTCCTGCTCCAATGTGATGGAAATTAGGAAGCCACTGACGCTTTTGACCATGGGTAGGATGTGACGGGAATTAATTAATAATGGTAGATATCATTTGAGTGCTCTGTGTGCTCTATGCTTTATATCCGTTATCTGTGGGCCTCATCACCCCTCTGTGGGGGACCTAGGGGGGCTTTGTTCTCTGAGGCTGAGAGAGAGAAGACAAGCACCTTGCCCGAGGCCATCTAGCTATCAAGAGGGAAGGCTAGGTTTGAACCTAGGCCTGCCTGGCTCCACTGTCTGGGCTCTTTCTCCTTCTACCAGACTGCCTCTACCTGGGAAGCCATCTGTCAGGGGCTGATGACCCCATGGAAAAGAGGAGTAGCTGGCTCTGGTAGTTATTACTGCTACTAAAAAGGTACGTGAGTTCAGAGTACATGTTGCTCCCCACCCCCCTACCCCCCAAAAAAAGAGGAGGAGGAGGAAATAGGATAGCAACGTATCATTGGAAAGAGAAAACTTGGTGATTGGCTGAGGAGGAAAGAGGACGAGATGAGAATGCTGTTTGAAATGAAGGCAGGCACTGGTAGGCCTGACTCCTCCATCGAGGGGTGGTCTCCAAAAAGTTCTGGCACCAAGCTAGAGTCCATGGGTTTCTCAGAAGTATAATTTCTTATGGACACACACCTAGTGGTCACTACAGGCTTCATAGTAATTCTTGACTAGTGTAGGTCATGCTGCCTGGGTGGACTTCTGCTGTTCTAGTCGGATCAGTGCTGTTGAAGGCGGGGCGGGGGGATGACGATGGACAACCTTAGGTAAGAGAGAATCCAGTGTTCCTTGGCTTAGGTCTACTTTTGTGCCCTCAAGGACAGTGCCCCTACCACCAGTGCTAAAGGACTTATTTTTTAAATTTCCAGTTTATCTGGACTGATAATTTTGTAAAATAAAAAAAGAATTACTAGAAAAAGAAACTGAAAAAGTCATACAGAATGCAAACTCATTTTTTATCATTAGATTTGACAGATCTAAAAGTACTTTGTAAACTTGCCATGAAAATTTCTAAATGCTTATTCTCAATTTCTGTACTTAATTTTGACTGCGGACTAGAAAACTATTCATGGACTGGTACAGTTTGAGAGCAGTGATCTAGGAAGAGAGTTTATTAAGCAAATTAGTAAACAGGATGTTTTTGGAAAATTTACATGATTGAGTAAAAACAGTCTTTCAGTTAGCATTTAAAATACTTTAGATGTTTGTTCATGTATGATCTGATTACAGATGACATCTTCTCAGTAAAGTTCCATATTGGGGGGTAGGGATGTAAAATAAATATACCAAGAACCAAGGCTAATGAAATTATTGTAAGGGAACTGTAAGTTTAAACTAGTAGCAATACTTGGAAAAATAGGCGCTTTTACTTCCTCTGTTGTTTCTGAGAACCATTGTATATTCTTTTGCTCGTTTGATTTATATCGCATTTGAATTAATTTTTATATTTCGGTGCATAATTTTAAGTATACTCTTTTTTTTTTTTTTTTGGAAGAAGATTAGCTCTGAGCTAACATCTGCGGCCAATCCTCCTCTTTTTGCTGAGGAAGACTGGCCCTGAGCTAACCTCCATGCCCATCTTCCTCTACTTTATGTTTGGGACGCCTACCACAGCATGGCTTGCTGAGTGGTGCCAGATCCGCACCCGGGATCCGACAACCCCAGGCTGCTGAAGCGGAATGTGCGCACTTAACTGCTGTGCCACTGGGCTGGCCCTAAGTATACTCTTTTAGGGGGACATTCCCTAAGCAAACTTTTTTTAAGTCTCAGGAGTTATATATGCTGATAGAGAGGTCATATAATACTTTGTTTAGATTTCAAATTTGATTTTTTTTCTCTAGCTACCAGTGTATTTTGTATTTTGAGCTATTTTTTACTTTGCTGATATCTTACTTGCCCTGATTTACTACGTTGTTCCCTTAGCCTAGAATTCTCTTTCCCTGCCTTTAGGGCCCAACCCAGGAGCTGCTTCTCTCAGGTGGCCTGGGGTCCCATCGGTGCTTCCTGCTCCTTTCTCTGCCTTCCACAGCTCTCTCCAACCTCTGCTGAGCTCGCCTTTAGCCTGCCTCATTGCACAGCGCTTACTCCTCTCCCTGCTGGCCGCTTTTCTCCCTGCTCTGAAGTCAGGACTTGCTTTTGTTGTGTATCATACTTTATATTACATTTTTCAAGACTCTTTCATATATATTTATTCTCTTATTTCATCCTCCAGACAATCCCATGAGGTTGATAGAATGGAGATTCTCATCTCTGTTTTAATTGAGGTGAGGCTGGGAGAGTGTGTCTGCATGGCAGACACCTTCATTCCTTTGTCCTGGGGCTCCCAGAATTATTTGTACCACTCAGATCCAGACTTCCAATACTGAGATTTTGAGTTTGCTCAAAGATGCCTGTAATTTTGAGGTTCTCTTTTCTACTCAGTTTTTATATTTGTTATTAAAAAAATCAAACATTAGAATATGTGCTATAGTGTCACAGGCCTCTTTGGAAGAAAGAAGTCTTCAGAACCTAGTGCAAGGGGTGGTCAGTAGAACTAGAGCTGTGGGCCCCAGGATGGCACGTAGGGCTGAAGTGGACGTTTAAGGGACATGCTCAACAAGAGTAGTGGTCTCTACTGTGATTTTCAAATACTTGTGGGAGTGGGTGGGTTTCCTTTATTTCAGCAGTAACAGCCTAGCGTATTGGATTGCACAGAACATTTCTCATGAAGAAAAGAATCCTGCCTTAAAAGGGAGAAGGGGGAGGTACATTGAAGAATCACTTTTAGCCCGAGTCAGAAGTCATTTGCTTTTTGACTTTGAGGTGTGTGGGTGTGTGTTTTCTCCCTGTCCCATTTGTGATCAAATAGACTTGGGTTCCAAATCTAGCCCTGCCACTTAGTAGGTAGGTATGATGACCTTGGCTGAGTTATTTAACTTCCCTAAACTTGTTTTCTCATCTGTAAAATGAAAGAAGTATTAGCTACTTTGAAGGATCGTTATAAGGATTAAAGATGATGTGTGTACTACACTTTGAGTCTGGGCTCGATAAATGAAAGTTACCTGAAAGCTAATGCAGAAGAGGGACTGACCCAGTAAGGGATTGCCTGCTTATGATTGGCTCTCACAGTGCTTCTCAAACCTGAGTGGGCATCAGGATCGCCTGGAAGACTTTGTAAACTACAGCTTGCTGGGCCTACCCCTGGAGTTTCCTGTTTTTGGTCTGAGGTGAGGCTTGAGAATTTGCATTTCTGAGTTTCCAGGTGATGCTGCTGCTGCCACTGCTGGTCTGGGGACCACATTTTGAGAACCACTGGGCTTCAGGTAACTCACCAATGAGCGTTTAGGTGCTGTAGATATGTTTGAAAGCTGAGCTTTTACGTAGTTAGTTACTCTGTTTGAAAATGCTTGGAATGCATTTTGCAAATACTGAATTTAGTGTCTCAAGAGTTTTTCCTCCTAAAGTCCAGGAGTCTGGTAAATATACTTGAAGAAGAATAATTTGTGAAAGTAACAGTTATAAACATTTTATGGATAGTCTAACAATATAAAATTGGCTAAGATATGTGAAAGTGCTTTTATAAAAATGCTGATAAATTGAAAAAAATATTTTAAATACCTTTGTTTTTAAGATTGAACATCATAATGGAGTATAAAATAGTCTAACTTAGATTTCTCATCTCAATATGCTGTTTACCGTATGTATTTTTCTCTTTCTCCTCCAGGCTGCTGACTTGAGTAAACCAATAGATAAAAGGATATACAAAGGAACACAGCCTACTTGTCATGACTTCAACCACCTAACAGCCACAGCAGAAAGTGTCTCTCTCCTAGTGGGCTTTTCCGCAGGCCAAGTCCAGCTTATAGACCCAATCAAAAAAGAAACTAGCAAACTATTTAATGAGGAAGTAAGTAGCACCCTGTCTTAGCTGTTAAGAATCCCTTTAAGAATTTATACGTTCTTACTAAGGGTAGCGGGCCTTAGTTTACACTTCGAACTAAGCCCATTTTTCATTCTCTCAGCTGTTCTACCTAGTAATACCCAAATTTAAATGTGGTGAATTAACTTGTTGACTTTTACGTGTTCTTCCTTGGGGTAACTGTTTTGTGCATTTTTTATGGATCATGCTCAGGTGTCTATAGCAGGTACTTGAAAAGTTTTTTATAATGGAAATAGGGACAAGACTCTAACTTGTTATTTATAATTTAAATAAGAAAATATAGAATTACAGACTTTGTTCACATCACCAGAAAATGTCATGTAAATCAAAGAACTTGATAATATTTCCTTAGGCTGCTTAAATTGTAATTAAAGCTTATATGTATCTATTTGACAGGCGTTTGGCTAAGTTCTCTTGCACTTGAAAATATTTGCTGTAAAATCACCTTTGACATAGTTAGAAATCCTGGCACTTAAAATTGGATCACATGACATGGCTTTTGCCAATATTGTAGTATGTACTGGGGTTTTCTAGTATCTTCAGTTTCATTCTGGAAGGAGTCTGAGATATCTGAGCTATCTGTTTAGGAATGTGTCAGAACTGTTAAACGTGGCAGATAGAAGTTGCCAAATAGATTGTATTTGTTAAAGCTATTCGGAATGGCTTTTCAGCCCCAAGTATTGCCATTACGTGTCTGATACTCTCCCTCCTCTGTTTCAGTATGACTTTCCAGCAAGTGGAAGAGATGAGGTAGGCTTGCTGAGTTAGAAGCCCTGGGTTCCAGTCTCTACTTGTGCCCTCAACCCTGATGTGCCAAGGGTCTGGTCACGTGGGATCCCTCTCAGGAAGGACAAGTGGTTTTGCATTGTTGCGTGGTTTGAACATCATTAACTTTGAACAGAAGTGCATTAGATTCTGGTTTTTAAGAAATAGTTTTATTTGGAGAACAATATTCAACTTGAAGAATTGCAGTTAAAATTCTGATTGCAGTTGTTATGGTATATGCTGTCCATGCATATCCAGTACCCACGCACGGCGCTCCTGTTTGATTTTTCCAGTGGATTTGGTGAAATCTTTTGGACCATGTCATCTGCTCTTCTAGTTTCATCTGTGTTGACTAGAAAATAAAAAACAACAATTTGTCCTTTGGATTGACAAACTGTAGAGGAAAAGTATTTAATCCCATTTTCTGTTTAAAAAAACTTAAGCAGAAAATTATGCTGTTTACCTAGATGTTTTATTACTGTCATCTGAGGAAGTGATTTCTAAGTAGCTGTATGATTTCTTTTTTTGTGAGGGAATGTGGGGGCACAAAACCAGCCTCTCTGCCCTGTTAATAGAAATTGTGAATTTGGAGTCATTGTTGGGTTTTGTTTGAGTGTAGGTAGGGGGCATGTCTTTGAGAGGGAAGGGATTGGAATCATGTAAAGGGCTGTTGGTAAACAAGATGGGGAAGCTGCTCTGGCTGAGGCTGGCACAGAATGCCACTTAGAGAACAAGAAGGCTTTGTGTGTGGTCACTGCGGGAGGGCGGGATTCAGAGACCACAGGTCCCTAGAGTGTCAGGGCCCTGAGAGCACCTCGGATACATCTGCCAGACCTATCCCTTACTCTGGATAAGTAGGAATTACAGGCTAGAAAGCAACTCCTCACTCTTCATGATTTAAGCATGAGTTATCTTAGACTCTTTTTACGTTCTATTTGAAAAATGGCTGTTCAGAACGCTAGGACTGTGTATGGTTTAATGCCAACTTGGCATTTCTAGCTTGTGGCTGAAATTGATTGCCCTTCACAGTAAGGAAATTCTTTGGCTGTATGGATGGCATTTTCGTCAGAGTTTGGTCAGGATGTCTAAGAGCAAGGCTCGTTAGAAGTTTGTTTCTCAGAGAGCGCCAGGAATGGTGGTTGAAACAATAGTCATGCCATGCTCTGCTTTGATATGAGATTTAGAGGTTTCAAGATGTTTTATATATTTCCTCTGCATGGGACAGTAAGCAGCTGTCCCATTTTACAGATGAGGAAACAGAGAAGGTAAGTGAATTGTCCAGATTAGGCAGCAAATTGATAATAGAGTTGAAGCTAGAAATTAATTCCACAAGCTCTTATTGATCATAGACTGTAAGCCCCACCATGTGTGGTTGCCGGATGGGTGGGCCCTTGTCTTCCCAGGAGCTCATCGTTTAGGAAGATGGGCAGAGAGGGTACTGGGGCATGTGTTATCACAGTGTTTTGAATAAAGTACCAAGGGATGTGTGTTAACTGTGTTAACTGTATTCTTCAGTGTGTATCAAATGTCACAAAATAAATAAAAACAGAAGTTCAGTTCAGTGGGGGTGAGTTGGAGAAGGCTTCCAAAAAGTAACATTTGATCTGGGTCTTGAAAGATGCATAGGAGTTGGAGGAGGGTGAGAAAGGCCTTCAAAGCTAGAGAAAACAACTTGGCATTTGGAGGAACATCAAGTAAGCAAGTGAGGCCAAATTATAGCGTGTGGGCCTCAGGGGGCAGGAGTAAAAGCAGACAGATAAATCGGAACCAGATATAAAAGCCCTTTCGTGACGTGCAAAGAAATTTAGATCTGACGTTGGAGGCTGTGGAGGAACCTTTGGGCTTTTAATCAAGGGAGTGACAGGATCAAATGTGTTTTTCTAGACCTCTTGTCAGCACTTGTGGAAGGTGGATTGGAATGAAGAGAGAATGAAGGTAGCAAGACCAGTGAGAAGGCTCTGGTAACTGTCCAGGTGAGAGCTGAGGGCTTAAACTAGAGTTGTGGCCATTTTTCCATTCATTTGACAGACGTTGATTACCTACCACGTGCCTGGCACTGGGTCTGCGGTGGCAGATAGCACTTGCCCTGCTGTTACTCCTCTCATTCAAAGGGGAGAGAGGTGTAAACAGTAGCACCCCCCACACACACTTATGGTGTAAGAGGAGACAGCAGGCCTCAGAGAGAGAGAGAGAGAAACACAGAGGTTAAAGGAGGAGGTGGAGAATGTCTCTCAGAGGAAGTGGTGTGCTTTAAGCTGAGCCTTGCATGAGAAGGAGGCTGACCAGGGAAGGAACTGGAGACAGAGCGTTCCTGCAGAAGGGAGAGTGGGTGAAGACCCCAGGGTAGGAAAAAACTTGGGACCAAGAGAGCTGAGAGAGGACGGTGTACCTGGGGAGGGTGGTGTGAAGTGAGGGCATGCAGTTGGAGGGCTGTGCCACTCAGGGTCTGGCCATGGTTTGCTTCTTTGCCTGAGATATGGGATCCCATAGAAGGGAGCAAGAGCGTGGGGTGGTCAGATTGGTGTTTTTGAAAATTACCTGACTGCTTCTTGGAGACTGAATTGCAAAGAAGTATGAATAAATCTTGGGTTTCTGGCTGTCATTTACTATACTAAGCCTGGTAAGGAGCAGGTGTTGGGAAATGGAGGGAAAGATCAGAGTTCTATTCTGTACTTGTTAAGCGTGAGGGGCCAGGTATGTGGTTGGATACAGGATCTGGAGCTCAAAACTAGAGGTAAAAATTTGGGAGTTGTCTGCATATAAATAGTAATCACATCCCTGAGATTACATGATAGGTCTGTGGAGAAAGTTTAAGAGCGAAGAAGAGTGCCTAGGACTAAGCCCTGATTGTACTCCGAGATTCTGGCCGTCTTGTCGCATTGCCTCCAAAGGAGCCCTTACAGTAGTCGGTTTATTGCTGTGAAGTTTGTAGACTCACAGCCCAATGGCTGAGAGCCGACCCCTGAGCCCAAACACCGAGCGTTCAGACTCAGCTCTGTCACTTATTGCTTATGGGATGTGGGTCTGCGACTTCCCTCCTCGTCAGCTGGGAAATGGGTGAGAACAAGACCCACCTGAAAGTCTTCTGAGGATGAGATGTTTAGCAAAGGCCTGGAGAGTGAGCCCTGGTGAATGCTCAGTCAAGTTGCAGGGAGCGGGGAAACCCAGAGGGTTCTTCACTGGGGATTGGAAGGAAAGGGTTCTTGGGAGGTGAGATACTAGCAGTTTTGAAGGAAAAACAGCAATATTTGTCCAGGACAAGAGAGTGAGAGCAGGCCAACTCAGGCAGGGGATCAACCTGTGTGAGGCCGAGGGTATGGCTGCTTATCATAGCTGTGATGCTCACCTGCCCCCCTGTGATGCTCACCTGCCACCGTTCCATGCCGTCGTATGTGCACACACCCCAGCCCCAGTATCTATTTCTGTGACCTTTGCCTCCTTTCTAGAGATGCCTGGTACGTGAAAATAGAGTAAAATGTTTGGATGGATGGGTATACAGATAGAATGGAATTATAAATTCCAGAAATCCACCTGAGATTTAAAGATAGAGGAAAATTGCTATCTAGGAATCGAGTATATCTTAAAAGGTGATTTTTTCCTATTAATTAAAAAGAAAAAAGTTTAAAATGCTTGTTTGTAGGAAAATTGGGACATAGAGAAGTACAAAGAAGATGGCAAAATATCACCCATAAATCCCAGTGCTCACTGTTAACTTTACTTGTAATTTTTAATTTTTAAATGAGGCAAGGTTATCAGATTCACACCTTCCATTAGAGATGCCGGCAACCTTCACCTCCCAGTTTGGCCCTAATCTGTTGAGTTCACTTAGCAGAGGCGAGCCCTGCTCCCCGGGCCATCCCAGTCGGAGACCCTGGCTGCTGTACCTGTGCCAGCCCAGGAGGAAGGAAAATACCTCGTCCTTTCTAGCCCCCCTTGGGAGTGATATCGTCAGATTCCCCCATGTCTCTGCTTTCTCTAGTCTTGTAGAATAGATTTTAACTTTCTGTTTGTGGCATTCTGTATATATTATGCCGTTGAAAGTGTCTAACAGGCCTCTGTTGAGAGTATTTTGGCACATCCAGTAATCTGTGGACCATGGAACCTACCTCCATAATAAGAGCTACTTGGAAAGGGGAGTCGCCCCTGTCAGCAGTCAGCCTGTGGGAAGCCCCCTGAAGGGATGCGGAGTTCCATTCTTATTACTAGTGGTTATGATGCACTGGGGAGGAGGAACTGCAAAGGGATCTACATGTCTGTATGATGATGAACTCAGCCTTGTTCATGTCTTTGTAAAAATTTAGGTCTATTTACAACTGTGGGTTGTATCCACAGAACAGGGTTTTCAAGTATGTTTTGATTATTGGGTAAGATGTAAAATCTAAAAAGAACTTGTCATCTTGGCTTCTCTCATTGACATGTTCTTGACTTTCTCCTCTCTCACAGAGTTGGAGGCCAGGGCTAGCACGCTGGGTAGGTCTAGTCTCCTTTTGGTCTTTAGATCAAGTCTGACTGCAGGTCACATCAGAGGAATGGGCCTGGCTCTTGGACCCTGTTGCTAGCCCAAGGCTTTGTCTTCTCTTTCATCCCACCAGCTGCAGGCTCCTCCTGTGCCCACTGCCCCCAGGAGTGGGGACTGAGAGTGAGGTCCAACTTCGCAATGTTCTGTCTAGTTCTTTAACAAAAGAGTGGTTCTGTGCATTTTGTTAGTTTTGTTTTCTCATTGTTGCTTTTTTTAATCAAAGGAAGGAAATGAGCACATAATCTACTCCTTAAAGTTTTAACATTGATAAAAATGACATCTGATCCTCTTTTACGTGGCTTTGAAATACCCTTTCCTAATACCTCCTGAGGGAAGCAGCTCTCTTTAATGCGTTTATATAATCAAAGCCCTTAGTTGCCGTTTTTGCCTGTGGCTACATTATGGTTTTTCCAGCAGCTGCTGTGGTTTTTGAATTGTTTGGTTTAGCATTTTTGTTATAAATTAATATCTGTATTGTTAAATGCGTATCCTCTCCCCCCAAAATAATTTTTTCCTGCTTGTCATGTTGATAGCAGTGAAAAAAAGAAAATTAAAAAAAACTAAGTGCTTTCGAAAGCTTCATTTTAGCAATGACGCTTTAATGTGGTTACGGATTTATTTTATTCTTGCTTCCTTTTAACTGGTTTAGTATAGTTAGAAAACCTTGTCTGTTAATGTCATTAATGATGGTAGTTTTGGTGTGTGTTTGATTTTCCCTGAATTAGTATCGCAAATGGGACAGTTTCTTGGGCATTCGGAATGGGGAATGTGGGAGGCCACGGTTGAATACTGCGGAGAGGCATGGGTGTGGGATCCCACTTGTAGGGTGGCTGTCTTGACATACAGAAGTGATATATCGAAATCCAGATGTTGTTTTTGGTTTTTACGAAAGTGATAAAAATAGGGCTTGGAGCGTTTTGACTCTCTTTAGGGAAAAGCTCAGTGGCTGTGCCAGCTGACCTGATAGGGTCTGTCTTAGCTGCTGAATCTCACCCGCGGCTTCGCTGCCCTCTCTCCCCCTCCCTCCCTGAGCACCTGTCCTGCTCTCCTCGCTCTGGAGGTTTGCTGGTAGTGGGATTCACACTCTGTTCAACTCCTGCCCACCAGAGCGTCCTCACCTCTGCCTATTGGTGTTTCCCCTCAGCTTCTCCTCTCCAGCCCTGGAGCAGGGGCTTTCTTCTCCTTGGTCTCTCTGCATGCCTCTCCCTGATCCCCCAAACTTGCTTCCCTGTGTCTTCCCAAGGAAGCCCCCCTGCGCCCGCTCCACCTGCCCTGCGCCCTGCTGGAAGCCACACTCCTTCCAAGCCGCATTTCCTGGTCTGTAGGACGTTGCTGACCTCAAAGACCCAGTCGCATGATGGAGGGAAATTATGAGGCCAAGAGCAGAGCTCCTGGCCTGTTGTGATCACTCACTCAGCATCAGTTCCTCCCTTTCCTCATGGGATTTCTTGATCCTTCTCTCTGCTTTTCCTTCTGCTTTCCTGATTTTTGTCTTGCTCCCTAATAAGTAGGCTTTTTCCAGAGTTTCACACTCTCCTCCTCTTCCTTGCTGTACCTTTGTCCTTGGAGATCTTAGGATGTCGCAGATCTGCCTCTCACTGTTCACAGCTGACTTCCTTATCTTCTCTGGTCATTTCCATTAGCCGCCTGCTAGGTGAGGATGCTTGGATTTCTCCCCAGCACAGTCACCCCCTACTCTTTTCTATCACCGCTTTCCCCATCACTCAGGCTCAAAACCTAAGAGTCTTCACACACCCCCTTCAGCACCCCTCCTACTCCACCCAGCCCAATCCGTTGTTAAGCAGTCCATCCTGCCATGTGCCGCTGGTCAAGATTAAGACATTTTTGTCCACAGACAACTGCCATAGCCTCCTAACTGCTTCCTCCCCACCTCAACCCCATCTTTTATTCTGTACCTACTGCCGGGGGATTTCACAGTATTCTGTCACTTCCCTTTTCAGAAACCTTCGGTGCCCCCACTGTCTGCAGCAGCACTGCCAGTAGAAATATAGTGTGAGCTACATAGGCAATTTTAAATTTTCTATAGCAATAGCCACATTAAATAAGCAAAAAATAGGTGAAATTAAGATATTTTATGTAATATATCCAAAATATTGTTTCAACATATAATCAGTTTAAAAATTATGAATGAGATAGTTTCCATGATTTTTCAAGTCTTCGGAATCCAGTGTGGGGGCCAGCCCCATGGCCGAGTGGTTAAGTTCACACACTTCGCTTCAGTGTCCCGGGCTTTTGCCAGTTCAGATCCTGGGCGTGGACATGGCACTGCTCATCAAGCCACTCTGAAGCAGTGTCCCACATAGCAGAGCCAGAAGGACCTACAACTGGAATATACAACTATGTACTGGGGGGCTTTGGGGAGAAGAAGAAAAAAAAAAGATGATTGGCAACAGATGTTAGGTCAGGTGCCAGTCTTTAAGGAAAAAAAAATCCAGTGTGTATTTTACGCCCAGAGCACATCTCACTTCAGACCAGTCACAGTTCAAGGGGGCTATATGGGATTGGGCAGTGCCCGGCTTCAGGGTCCCAGTCCCATTAACCTGGGACTTCAGGGCTCTTAACCTGAGACTTCAGGGCTCTGAGTCCCAGCTCACGATTCCAGACCTAATTCCCTGCCGCTACTCAGGTGCTGCGCACGTCCCCAGATCTGCCCTGACTCTTCTATCCTGAGCCCTGGTTTGGCTGCCTCCCCGCCCCCAGCATAGGTCCCTTTATGCCCCTGCCTCTCTCTCAACTTCCCTGCCCCAGCTCTGCCCAGGAGCTCCTCACAGCAACGAGGGTTTTACCAAGGGGGTTTTTTCAACATACTCAGCCAGATCAAGGCCCCATTGATGTTAGAGTTGAGCCCAACAGGGAAATCCCATTACTTAACATTGAGCACTGAGTAAGACTGTGTACTGTTTTTACTAGACATTTTCTGGAACAAAAATGTGCCCTTATGGTGCGTAATCTAGGCTGCATTCTTTGTTTTTATTGACTACAATGTTGCAGGTATTTGATTTAATTTGAAAGACAGGAGTAAAATGCTTTCTGTCCTCTTCCTTATTGGTAGACCCGAACCAGCTAATAACCTAGAGAAATTTAAATTCAATGATACTCTCCTTACTACGCCTCGAGTGTGCCTCCCACCCTGGCCTTGAGGTCTGAGGTTGGCTGATGCCATTCCTGGGAGCCTGTGTGAGTGGCCCTGGGCCTCATTGACGTCATTTGTCGGTGGCCCAGAAGACGGCAGGCTGGCTTTGGGGTCCCATGGGCCTCCGTGGGCATTTCATCTTGCCCCATCTGTTCCATGAGCGCTAGCCCCCTGATGTTTCTCTGGGTTGTCTAAGGCTTGCTTTGCTCCTGCCTCAGTGTCCTTGCTTGTTCCCTCTGCAAGGACGCTCTCCCCACATCCTCTTGGCCTGCTGTCTGCTGCCCTTTCAGTCTTTGCTCAGCTAGCTCTTGCTGCCTGAGAAGGAGGCCTTTCCAGGCCCTCCTATTTGAGATTGAAATGGCCATGTTGCCCTCCCTTGCAGCACTTGGTCTTCTCTCCCTGGTTTGTTTTTCTCCAGAGGATTCATTACCATCAGATCTTCTAAATTTCACTATCTTCTCATCCTGCTTGAATGTAAATTCCCTACAAGAAGGGATGTCTGTCTGTTTTAATCAGTGCTATCTATGTCAGTGCCTAGCATGTGGTGTGCATTCAATAAAGAATGAGTGGAGAGTGAGTGAGTGAATGGGAGTTCAGGCAAGTTTCTTGACCTCTCTGAGCCTCTGTTTCCTAGTGCGTAATGTGGCAATAATACTTCCCTTCCTATGGGGACTTGGGCACTCTTAGGTTGCTGATGGGAATATAAAGTGCTGTCTCCTTCATGAGAGGTAATATGGCAATATCTATCAAGATTATAAATGTGTATACTTCTGACCCAGCTATTCCACTGGGAACCCATCCTGCGAGTGTATTCAGACATGTGAAAACTGCTACATGTGCTGCAGGGTTATTCATAGCTATAGAAATGTCCATCTCTGGGGCACTTTTAAAATAAACTACAGTGTATCCATATAATTAAATACTCTGCAGCTTTTGAACAGAGTGAGGAATTTGTCTTTGTACCAATACAGACAGATGTACAAGATGTGTTACCAAATGAGAGAGCAGAGGTGCAAACAATGCCTGGTGTGCTCTTTGGTATGAAGACAGGAGGGTGGATCGATTTATATCCGTATTTGCCTTGTCCATGCACGAAGACACCCTGGGGAGATAAATGGGAGGCTAATAATAGGGCTCTGTGGATCTCAAGGGATCTGGGATGGAGGAAAGGGCTATGAGTGGGCCTCTCGACTTTTATATGAGATACGAATGTATTACCTATTCAAAGAAGTAAAGCCTTACCTTGCAGGGTTATTTTGAGGATTAGAGTGTGTGTGCAGACCGTCTTGCCCAGTGTCTGGCACACAGAGGAGATCCTCAGATTGGAAGTTAGTACTGCTGTCCTCATGTGCCTGCCACACACCCCAGACCCAGCTGAGGCCCAGGTGCCCCCAGGTGCAGCGTATATTTTCCTTGCACGTGAGCACGGGACCTGGTGGGGAAACTGATGGTGCAGAACAAGTGAGAGAGCCTTTCCACATTCGAGTTGGATCCCTGGTCCTTTTATTCTTTCAGTTTGCAGTTACTTAAACTGGTGTGCCCAATTCACAGGTGCTGGAGTGTGACTGTGGTGTCTGCTTAGGTGCCTGGAAGGGGCACAGAGGATGGGTTGGGGTTTTTGTCCGTAAGTTACATCCACGTGTCTACCTATAGTAGTCTCAGTGCACCTTTTTAGGAATGGTCTTTAAGTGTGTTTTGTCATCCCAGTAACATTTATTTTAATAATGGTGCTATAATTATTTGTCTTCATACCTTACAGTTGCAGAGCAATACTATTTTTATTTGACAGTATTAAAATTTTGAGTTCTAATGGAATTATTTTTGTTGTATCTTTTTAAGCCAAAAATAAAATTTCTCCTAACAGTAGTGCTGGAAGTTTTTATGTCTGTCCTTAAAGTTTTCCACGTGTGATAGAATAACAGTGGAGTGACCTTGGAGGAACTGAGCTTGGTTTGGTTGTGGTGAGGTGTGAGGTGCAGGAGTGGAGAGTCCAGTGCCAGGAGAAGTGCAGACCCTGGCTGCTGGCCTCAGTTAGCTTTTGCAGCCGCCTGACAAGGCCACCAATGGTGGGTGAGCCAGGGCGACTCCTAGACATTGGGCCAGCAGGCCAGTCGCGTAGGTGGGATCGGGAATGCGGGAACAGCCTGGGCCCAGTGGGTGCAGCAAGGTCTGATGGTTGGGGGTGGGCCCCCAAAAACAGAAGTCCTGATCTGGCCTTGCAAGTTATCTGTGTAACCTCTTGCAGAAGAAATGGTTGAAGGTCTGATGGAAACCCTGCCTGAGTAGCACTGGGCTCTTAGGTTGTTGGCGTTGGCATAGATCAGGTCCCTTTCAAAGGTAGGTCACCAGCCAGGAAGAGAAAGAGTCAGGGAAAGAAACCATTGGCTGTGTCCCCAAAGCCAGCTTGCCGCATCTCTGTTAATTTAAGAGGGCTAGCTATGCCATCCTGTGGCTGTGAAATTGTGGAGCAATGAGCAGTGACACCTGCTGCTGAGTAACCTTTGCCCAGCCCATCGTCTGGAGCCCTGGGCCCTGCATGCTGTGCAGGATGAGGCTTCCTCTCTCCTCCCCAATTGAAGTCATTTGTTAGCCACCTGCCTTCTGGGGTCTTAATTTTCTGCAACAGCTTGCATGGTTCATTAATCTCTTCTTTGAAAAACCAAGTTTTCTCATTTTCTGTGAAGACGCACTGTGCACAGCGGAGACTCAGCAGCGCAAAGCTGACTAGGCAGAAGGCAGCCTGGTTCTCGGCGAGGTCCTCATCAGTGTGCCCCGTGCCCCTCTGAGGCTCTCGTCAGGGAGTCCCAGCCAGTTAAGTGAGGTGTTAGTCTGCCGGGCTCCTGAGGCACCCGCTTACTCAGGGGATGCTAGCGGGGGCTGTTGGGCAGTAGAAGTTTCTAAGAAGAACTTGGGAGTCTTGGGAACTTCTGGATGGTTTCTGGTGATGTGATTTTAGGAGCAGGCAGCTGGGAGAGGGGCACCCTTGTGGAAGCCACTGCGCCAGTGAGCCCGCGGCGAAGTCTGCAAGCAGGGAAGCGTGCTTGTTGTGCTTTTGGGTGGTTTTATTTGGGCCTTTGGTTCTTTTCATTTTAACGGCAAGACTCCTAATCTGTGCCTGTTAAAGAAACAGTTGGTCAGTGAACCAAAAATTAGCATGGAGTAAAGTGACGGTGATTAGGCACATGCTCCCAAGTTAATCATCTGTTTATTTCTTTAAACACCACATTGTTCCAAAGAAGATTTGGAAGAATTGCTTCTAAAGATACACACAGGACAGCGAATGTGAGTGAGGAAGTTTCAGTGAATCCAGGGCTGAGGTAGAGCCGGGGAAGTACGCGAAGTACGCGACGACGTCCTGTGTGCTGCGGCCAGTGGCTGCACGTTGAGTCCTGACCTTGGAGCAGCCAAAGCAGAGGGGCAGGTGTAGTTGGCACGTGACTTACAGTGACGATGAAATGCAGATAATCTGGGAGGCGTAGTGCTCCTGGCTGTGAGGACTGCGAGATTTTCCTGGGGTGCTCACAGAGAGGGTTCTGTGGGGAGGGCAGTGAATCACAGATTCAGACACTCCTAGCGTGAGAAATGAAGGTGCCCAAGGGCTGCCGCTCTCACCTCTGTGTCCCAGTGCCTGGCACAGTGTCAGGCACACAGTGAGCTCTCAGCAGTGTCTGTTGAATGACTGATTCCCTCAGTGAAAGCCAGTGGCCTGACACCCAGATGCCATTCTAGAAAGTAATTCTACAAGGGGCCAGAATGCTCTTCACTGGCTTGTCTGACCACGGGCTAGGACGTGGAGTGCCTGGACGGACTCTTCCCTTCTCACCGAGAAGCAGACAAGTTTTCTTACTGGAAACGTAGACCTTTAAAACTTCTCCATTGTGATAACTTGTTCTCCTTTGTCTTCACAGAGACTAATAGACAAGTCACGAGTAACCTGTGTCAAATGGGTCCCCGGTTCGGAAAGCCTTTTTCTAGTAGCCCATTCAAGTGGGAACATGTACTTGTATAATGTGGAGCACACTTGTGGCACCACAGCCCCCCACTACCAGCTTCTGAAGCAGGGAGAGAGCTTTGCCGTGCACACTTGCAAGAGCAAATCCACGAGGAACCCTCTCCTTAAGTGGACGGTGGGCGAGGGGGCCCTCAACGAGTTTGCTTTCTCCCCAGATGGCAAGTTCTTGGCGTGCGTGAGCCAGGACGGGTTTCTGCGGGTGTTCAACTTTGACTCGGTGGAGCTGCATGGCACGATGAAAAGCTACTTTGGAGGCTTGCTGTGTGTGTGCTGGAGCCCGGACGGCAAGTACATTGTGACAGGTGGAGAGGACGACCTGGTAACAGTCTGGTCCTTTGCAGACTGCCGAGTGATAGCTAGAGGCCATGGGCACAAATCCTGGGTCAGTGTTGTGGCGTTTGACCCCTATACCACTAGTGTAGAAGAGAGCGACCCTGTGGAGTTCAGCGGCAGTGACGAGGACTTCCAGGACCTTCTTCACTTTGGCAGAGATCGAGCGAACAGTACACAGTCCAGGCTGTCCAAACGGAACTCTACAGAGAGCCGCCCTGTCAGTGTTACATATCGGTTTGGCTCGGTGGGTCAGGACACGCAGCTCTGCTTATGGGACCTTACAGAAGACATCCTCTTCCCTCACCAACCCCTCTCGAGAGCAAGGACACACACAAATGTCATGAACGCCACGAGTCCTCCGGCCGGAAGCACTGGGAACAGTGTCACAACGCCCGGCAACTCTGCGCCCCCTCCTCTGCCACGGTCCAACAGTCTCCCACATTCCGCCGTCTCAAATGCCGGCAGCAAAAGCAGCGTCGCGGATGGGGCCATTGCTTCTGGGGTCAGCAAATTCGCAACACTCTCACTACATGACCGGAAGGACAGGCACCATGAGAAAGACCACAAGCGAAACCATAGCATGGGACACATTTCTAGCAAGAGCAGTGACAAACTGAACCTAGTTACTAAAACCAAAACGGACCCAGCTAAAACTTTGGGGACACCCCTGTGTCCTCGAATGGAAGACGTCCCCTTGTTAGAACCGCTCATCTGTAAAAAGATAGCACATGAACGGCTGACTGTGTTAATTTTTCTTGAAGACTGTATAGTCACTGCTTGTCAGGAGGGATTTGTTTGCACATGGGGAAGGCCTGGTAAAGTGGTAAGTTTTAACCCTTAATGCTGCACCAGATCTAGAACTTGAATAGGTAGAGATTTTTTTTCTTGCGGGAGGGGTGGGGTGTACAATGAATGTGAATGACACTTCTTATTCTTAATGTAAATTGAAATGCATCAGAGCCATAATTTTGGATACTGCATGCCATGTAATTCTGAATCATTTGATAATTCACCTTAGAACGTTTAAAAAAATATAATCAAACTAATTGCCAGCCAAGTCAGTCACCCTCCTGGGAGTATATAGAGTCCCAAGGTTAGTGTTCCTGTATTAGACTATTTCGATTTTAGGAAAATCATGACAGTGGGGAAACAATGACTTTAAAATGCTAAAATTAAAATTTCTGCTTTAACTGGAATATTTTTGCTTAACTACTCAATTAGAATATTGTACACCTGATCTGAGTGTGTGTTCAGTATGGACAGCCATTAATTGTCATTTATAGTCCAATTTTTTATCTTAATCATAAAATGTTTAGGAATCTATGAAATTTAACTTTAGGAACAAAGCATTCAGCAGGGTTGATTGATATTATTTTTACATTGTTCTGGCAATCCACAGAAAGAGAAGAGCCTTAATTTTTAAAACCCATTTTAGTCATTTTATGACAATTAAAATTGTTTAATAAACATCTTTTTTCAAAGAAGCAGTTTGTAGCACTTTGATTGAGATTCTCTGCACTAAATGAACTATTTGTGTTACTCAGAGCCTGGACAGTTAACGTGAACTGCGGGCTGAGGACGCCAACAGCAGTTGTCAGAAGTGCCTCTTGCCACATAAGCCAAGATCTTTTATGTCCGATGCGCTTTGCTTATGTTTTTTTCCAACAAGGGAAAGGAGGTTTGGTTTTCTTTTGTTTTTTGTTTCTTGGGTTTTTTGGTCATAAAAGCACATGACTGTAGGCCCTGGGTGGACTCCTCTGCTTTGTTTTGTAAGGATTGATGGACTCCTCAGGGTTCAGAGTGCCTCCTGACCTTCTCTTGTTTGGGTTTTGATTTCCCGCCCAGAAGGGGAGCACAGGTGCAGGTGGCCCCCTTTCTCACCGTTGGGTCACAGTCATGATTCCGGGATCATTCTTGGGCCAGGGATGCTGGCCTAGCCCTTGGGCTCTGTCCTCAGTGGCTCCCACTCAGAGCACCTCAGCCTGGGGCTCTGGTGGCCTGTGGCTGCCCAGGAGAGGTGCTGTGGGAACTCCCTCTGCGCGGGGACACCGGCTGCTGCCGTGGAAAACTGTGGTGTTTGATTCTGATTCCTCATGATCCTTACCAGCTGTGGGAGAAGTTTCAAATTCCAGTTTTCACAATGCATGAGATGGTTCCTTGAGCTGTACATTTTATGTCAAGATAATGATTATCTTATTTGTTAACTTATTTTGGTCATTTAGATTTGTTTTTCTGTTTTGCACACCTTTGTAATTAAATATAGACGTACTTATCATTTACACTGGTTTGAGTAGTGAATGTGATTCAGCAAAGTGAAGACCTGGAGCCTTTCACTTCTCTGCAGGGTAAGATTGGTTGATGGAGCACCAGCTCTGGGTGCTCTTAATGCAGCCCTCCTAGGAAGGCCAGGCCACATCCCAGGCCTGCTTCGCGCTTCTGCACGTGTCATGGCTGGATCCCTTCACTCCGTACCCACCGTGCTCCGTAATGCGAGCAGTTTCTGTTAGCTGTGATAGCAGTGGCAGTGTTCTACAATGTGAGAACCAGGCGGCCTTCCAGGTGCACCTCCCACCCCCCTACCCCGGCATTGTGGTCCATGGGAATGTTAATGTCCTGTTTACCTTTAAGATATGATCCTTTGTTCCTAAATGTTAACTGATCTAAGGTAGCCAACACAGCCATCCTTGTGGACTGTTTCAAGTTTGGAGGCTAAATTGGGCTGTCAGATGGAGAGATTAGTAACCAACACTCCATGTGCATTTTGATGTCCCTGCATAGTTTTAGCAATTCCGTTTCAAATGCTTCTGAGGCAGTGAGTATGCAGTTTCAAAATTCAGGATTTTGTGTTTGGCTTAAGCCAAGAGTGGCTAATTCCAGGTAAGTAACCTTTGTGGGGAAGCTTACCTGACCTTTCAGTTCTGAGTGCATTGCTCATTGCATTGCCGTGGACTCGCTCCTGTGGGGCTGGCACTTGAGCAACTGGGCGCTTCCTGGTTCCTTCCACCCTTTAGCATCCTCAGCTGCGCTGGCTGTGATAAAGGAGGGATTGCTCTGGTGCACTCACAGGGTGACTTACCTAGAAGGCAGCCTGTTGATGGGAAGGTGGGGGTGGAGAGGCAGAAGGAGGATATTAATTGTTTCCTTAAAAAGCAAGTTCTGGAATGTGCTAATAGAAGCCTGTGGTGTCTCTCCTCTACCACCCCTACCCCCGCCCCCACCTCCCATTTTAAAAACCATAGTCATGTCACAGTTTAGGATTTGGGGCTTGGTCACCATCTTGTTCTTCCAGTATCTACTGGTGAGTGTATCCTTAATGTCTGTCTAGTACCCTGTCTGAGGTCCCCTTGCTGGGGGTCAGGTGCTGGGGAGGGGCAGCATGGCCTGGCCCCTGGCTCGGCCCAGGCTGCTCCCGTCCGCTGTGCCCTCTGACGCCTGCCCCCTTTCTTTGACAGCCAGCAGAGCACTTCTCCTGCAGTCAGGAGGACAGAATGCAAGGTGTTCTCCAAGACCAGGACTAAAGTTGCCGGCAGCTTGAGAAGAGGGCACTGGAGAGGGGCGGGCGGGCTCTTCGCCTCCTCCCGCCGATTGGCTTCTGACCAGTGGCTCCTGCAGACCTGGGATGGGGGGGAGGTGGGGAGCCTCAGGGGGCCCTGAATTCAGCTGTGTGAGGCACGGTGCCACCGAGGGACATCAGGGGAGCGTTTTTATAGTTTTCTCACCAAACTTTGAGCTTCCTCATTGAAATTTTTTGAAGTTTTTCAGCTTAAACATTATCCTGAGCAAGAATATCTTTTCTAACCTAACTTCTGGAATAAAACAGCTGTTGGCAGGAGGAGGCAGTTACTACTCGGTCAGCACAACTTTTCTGTCATGCACTGAAGTGCATTGATGAAAAGCACAGACAGAAATAAAGTACAAACGTGGTGGCACTCAAGTCCCACTCCCTCCCAGCGAGAGCACCTTGGCCTGTGGCCTGCGTGCAGCGACGGACGCCCTCAGAAGGCACAGCCAAGCACTGACGGTCCTCTCTGCCTGCCCTGCTCTGGCTTGCCTCTCTTAAACCTTCCGGGAAGTCCGGAAGCCGGGATTGTGCTGTGACTTTGGTGAGCAGCTTCTCGGCGCGCTGCCCCGCTCCAGTCCTACTCTGAGCCCTCCTCTTACTTGGGCAGGGGAATTAACAGTCCCCCAGAGGGCTGGAGAAGAAGCCTTTGGAAAACCTTGCCTTTGCAAAAGCAAATGTGTAAGAGGGAGTAGGCAGACTCTTTAAAAATAACCAGTAACTTTGGGTTCTAAATTTACTTAAACAGTGGTAAAGAATCTTAATTTTGGTTTTTGTGCTGATTGAACCTTCCAGCATTTTTGAAGTGTTCTCTGAGCCATTGGCTTGGGACTAGGGATAAATGCCTTATGATAGAGAAATGGAGGAGTGGAGGATAAACAGAAATAAGCTATAACAAAAATTATTGTCTCAGACATTCAGAAACTATGAAGAACAAAATGTGGTGAAACTTTACCAGTTTTTATGGGTGTGTACACATGTCCCAGGTGGGACTCAATATTCTGCTCCACTGTTTGCCTTAACACCCACATCCTGGCTGGCCGATAGCCAGGCAGCCACTTCTCGATTCCTCCACTTCCTGTGGTGCATCTTGAATTTTTAAGATATGGTCAAGTATTGAATTTGTGCTGACGTTGGTGAAGCTGTTTTACCTGATGTCTGCACCTGTGTACAAGGTTCTCGCCACCTCTTGCCCGGGAGGGAGATGTTTGATTTCTTTGTTGAGGAAGCTCAAAGTGTGAGGGGGAAAAGCCAGAGGGGCGGCGGCGGTGGGGCAGGGGGGCTGAAGGGGGAATCCTTGGGAAACCCGAACGCCACGTTTGGTGTGTCTGCCCGTCTGAGGAAGAACTAGAAGCGGAGTCCGACTGTGGCTTTTGCAGGGCAGATGCGCAGAGCGCAGCATCCCATCTGGTGCGTGAGGGCCTGGCGCAGGGCACCCGCCGCCCGCGTGGGTGCGCGAGGAGAAGCGTCTGGCCTCTGATCGACTGTCCCGTTGTCCGTTGTTCTGGGCGTGTCCACTGATGGCTTTCCTTCTGCAGCTGGGAGCCTCTGCATGCGTTGTAGGCCTGAAAAGGAACCCGGAGATGCTCCCGTCCTGGGAGCACGGCGGGGAGCAATCGGCAAGACCCTCTCCTTGTCCGGAGCCTGCCCGTCACATGGGGCTGCTCGGGACTGTCCTCTGTTCAGGTCACCGGGGGCTCAGCTCCACGACCCCAGTGATGGCCAACAGGAGCAGACAGCAGTCTGGGGAAAGTGAAGCCCAGGGCTCACAGTGGAAAAGCACTTGTATTGAGCTGTTACCCTTGAAACCCAAAGCGCAAGTTCAAAGCTGTATGAAATGCCCCTCCAGGGGAGGGAACTGTCCCACTGGTGGTCACTCTTTATTCATTGCTGCATCTGTTACATGAACTTCGTGTCATAGTTAAATTGCTGTCTCAAAAGTATAACAAAAATTTTCTGCGTTTTTAATTTCTGTATTCCTAAGTTTATTAAAGGTTGCTATATTAGGTGACACTGTATAAAATTGTATGAATATTTACCTTTAGTGAAAATCAAAAGTAAAATTCATATGTATTTCCTTTTTTACATTTTCAGCTAATTTCTTGATAACTTGAATAAATTTCAAAAGAGCCTTCCTAACATGAAATGTTGGTAAATTAAGTTCTTAACTGTTGCAATAATTATGGGAGCTTTAATAGCAGGATTGTTACTTTATAATTTTAAGAAAATCATATTTCTGTTTCACTGCCTTGGTTTTTAGTTGTTCCCTCGTCACTGTCACAGCCAGAGACTTACTACACACCTGATATTGAAGTACTTTGGGGCTGTCCTCTGTATACTGACATTAAATAAACATGTGTGAATGAATTGTAAATGTAGATAATTTTCAATCTCAGCTTTAAAAAATCTCAGTGAACTAAAAAAGAAAAGCTTTTAAATGCTGTACAATTAAGGGCCTCGTTATTGTTTATAGAACAGATAGCCACAGGAATTGCTACCTCTTATTACCGATTCTGAGTTTCTCCTAATTAGAAATCTACTAAATGTGATGTCTGTTCTGAGTATCAAAGGTATTAATTGTTTTCGGTGTGGAGAAGGGCTGCTGACTGACAGTGCAGCGAGCTGTGTAAAGGTTCTGTTTAACGAGAATGCTGACATTCTGAAGTTGTCCTGGGCTGGGTGCTGGCTTTGGTGAGCACAGACTCAGTATCCTGGCTGCTGGGCATCCAGCATCCTGTCCAGCCACCAGCCAGCAGCTGGGAGAGTGGAGGAGAAGCTGGCAGGCTGCTATAGGAGCTCTTTTCCTGGGGAGATTCATTGTTTTCCTAGTCATAATCTTAAACAGTTTGCTTGAGGCTTTGCAATTGCTCTTGAGGTTGTCCTGCCTTAGACACCAGGCCCTCGGGCTCCAGGGCAGAAAGGTCAGTGGGAGACAGTCCGTTTAGGGTGGGAAGAGTTAGTGATTTATATTGTCCTACAGCTGCATCCCGGAGTGCTTCAAGGCAAGAATTCCGGGCCTAGACCTCAGACCCCGCAGAGGCCTCATGTGAGGGTAAACGTGAGCTGGCCCAGGGAGAGCCCCTTGTCAGGCCCTGCTGCCCCCAGTTAACTGTCATCTCCGTGCTGTTTTGTGAGACATGTGGGCCTGGAGCCTGGGGCTAGCAAGGCCTCTGGAAGCTGCCTCCTGGCTGTCTCTCCTTGGTGGTCGGCCTGCCACACAACCATCTCCGGAGGGTGGTCTCCAGACCGCCCCCCGACCGTGCTGTCCTGATCCTCCGGGGCTGAGGCGGGTGCGATCTTGCTTTCGGCTCGGAGCTGCCAAAGCGGAAAAGACAGTCAGATGTTCTGCCCTCAGTGACCTGCTGCCTCAGGAGCAGTACATGCTTTTTCCTCAGTATTGAGTAGATTTTAAGCCCCACCCCAGGTGGACAGCAGGTTTAAAACAAACACAATATTTTCCTCTTTTAAAAATAGCTAGTCACTCTTGGAAAATAGTTCAGTCTTCCACGTGTGGCTGTCTGTGGAAAGAAACAGTCGCTTTTGGACCAGTGGGTCTCTTGAAAGGGACAGAACGTTTAGGGACACTCGGCCCCCACCTTGAGTGTTGGTGGTCTCTAAATGAGCCTTTTGTTTTGAGTGGGGCTAATGTGGGTAAAATCCTCCGCCAGTGGCTCATGCTGGAAAGAGGGGTCCCCTCCTCCTGTCGCACAGAGCAGGGGGCAGATCTCAGAGCCGCAGTCGGTCACCCGGAAGTGAGAGGGCCTGAAGGTGCGGGCGGGCGCTTCTTTCCGTGCACGGTTCTCAGAGGAGCCCTCACCTGGTTGTGCCCTAAGAAGTCTTGATCCCAGATACCTGAAAAGAGCATGATGGTTTTCTCTGGGTGGCTTTTCTCTTTAGAGACCAGGTTGAGTGGCCTCATTGGGGAAGTGAGCCACCTTCAGTGTGACCTGTCATTGGGCAGGTCGAGGCTGGCAAAGGGACATGGTCAGCTGCCCAGCAGGAGCCACGGTCCTAGGTCCAGGACCTGGGGCAGGGAGGAGTGCAGATGCTCAGGGAATGGCCCCAGGGAAGCTCCCGTGGAGTGGGCACTCTCCCCTCCAAGCCCACATTTAGGGACCGAGGCTGTGATCCACCCACTTTGTAAACCTCATTTCATCTGGGGACTTGGGCGTCACGTGCCTTAGAGTGAAATGGTGGCTGCTCTGGCCGGGGTTTCTTTGGTTCTCTGTGCAGTGCTCTGGGTAGTGCGAGTAATGGGATTCTCATGGATGGAAGTGTATCCAGAGCGAGCAGTGTTCCTGGAGCAAGTTACCCTGGTGGTACTTCTCATCGTTTTCGTAGCATCTCTAAAAGGGCATCACTTTACAAAAAATATTTACCTCTTCATTTCAGACTGGGATAGAGAGTGCTGGGAGCACCTGGCGTGGAGCCTCGGACTAGAGCCTCAGGGTAACTGTGCTGGGGAAGGTGCTGGGCCCCAGAGGCCCACCTTCCATGGGAGGCCGATCCAGGGGACCTCTGCAGCCCTCACCCCTCGCAGCCAGCGCTGAGCTCCTCTCAGGGCACTTTTCTGCATGACCTCGAGAGAGAAGCTGTGGTCGTCTGCAGTAAAACCTGTCCCGGGGTGGTGTGCTTGTCATTTTTGTTTGGGGTGGGGAGGGTGACATTGAGAGAGTCAAATGACCAGGCTTTAAATAACGCCAGGGGGATGACTCTGTGAATTCGCATGCAGCCCAAACTTGCTGACCTCATCCTACAACTACCCCCTGGAGGTCCTGAGGTCTCCAGCATTTACAGGCCAGTCAGAGGTGGCTGGGGTCAGATGGGGAGGCTGGCAGTGGGCCCGCCAGGACTTCAGGACAGGCCTTTCTTGGAAGTGGGGCTCTGTGACCACCCCTCCCCCCGTGTCTTTTCTTGCTGTCAGAAGCTGTGATCTCAGTAGCAGCCACCAGCACAGACATGTTCCTTTGTTGTAAATTATTTTTTAACCAAAATTATTTTGCCGGTACATTCTTGTGAAACAAGCCTTAATTCTATTAGCTTAGTATTATAATCAAACCCAAACTAAGAGCTGGAGTATTTCATCACTTAATTTTCAAATGAAATTTCCAGCAGGAATGAAATGGCAACTCTGGTGGGAACAGAACGGCTTATTAGATATTAGATTCAAGAATTGTCACTGTTCCTGTAATGGGCTTCCTCCCTGGGGGGCTAATAAGACATTATGCAGATTCTCTGCTGAAGACGTCTTTTGCTTGATAGATACGTGGAAAGCTCTAGTCGCCAGCTGCCCGCTGTCTGGGGGACAGAGCAGCAGTTCCCGCGCTGCTGGGCGCGACTGCGAACAGCAAGGTCGTCTCGTCGGGTCTTCTCCATGGACCGGGAAGAGTGAGCAAGGAGGATGCCGTAAAACAGCGTGCCCGCCCTCAGGCGCCGGCCGGCCGGCTGGGGTAGCTCGGCCTGTGGGCTTGACGCGGCTGGCAGGTAGGGGGGCAGGTCCTCCACGCTGAAAAGTGTGCCCCACACTGTCCTTACGTTAAGATGTCCAGCTGGGCGTCCTCTTCAGAGTAGCCTGGCGTCTTTGATGGAGGCCTGTAAATGTGTCTTCTCCATCTTTCTCTTTCATCACGCAATAACCTTTAAACTGAAGCGCAGGCTTATAGAAATAAGGTGACGTTTCACATTTAATTTTCTTTTGAGTGGCGGTGTTTTCCCCATGCCTCCATTGTCCATAATAGCAAAGTGATTCCGTCTCCAAGAAGTGAGCACGTGTCAGGTCTACGCACCACTGACCATAACAAGGCCCGACGGGGTCCTGGCCTGCGTGCTGGGTGCTGGGAGAGTGCCGAGCTGCCCCTGACCAGGCCCCTTTCCTGCTTTTCCAGGGAGCGCTAGTCTTGGGCTGCCCTTTCCCCACCCGCTGCCGACCTCTGAAGGCCTCACCAAGTCTGCTTGTTTCAGACTCCGCCCCAGGAAGGTCCCAAACCCACAAACCACACCTGCAAACGCGAGGAAACACCTGCGCTCTGGAGCGCGGGCCCACGGGCCCTCAGCGGGTGTGCTGGGTCAGTGCTGGAGAACTGGAGGTCGAGCCCCCCGGGCCTTGTTGCACTGTCCCATCCGCTTCTCTCTGCTTTAGTAGAGGGGCTCCTCGACCGAGCGCCCCGGGCTCCTCTTGGGCTTTTCACCCATGGCCAGGCCTACCTAACATCCAAGGCTGCCTCCTGGCTCAGTGCCCAAGGATCAGGACCCTGGGTGTGGAGCCCAGGGGCATATTACTGCACAACGTCCATTCTAAAGTAATCATTCACCAGGGTTGGCATCAAAACCCTGTTAAGTAGAACCCCCGGTTCCCAGGACGTGGTAATTGAGGGTTCATGTGAGTATGGACTGTGGTAGCTGAAAGGAGGAGGGTTACTTGTTAGATGACCTTCAAGATCTCTTTTGAACCTGGGCCTCATGGACAGTGGGACAGCAGGGGGAGTTCTACTTGGCTCCCTGCTGCTGTCACAACTGGGATTAGGGCTTTAGCCAACAGAAACTGGAGAATGAGTGCATTAATTTTGTGAAGATGCAGGGTTGGGGGGCCGGCCCTGTGGCCCAGTGGCTAAGCTCAGCGTGCTCTGCTTTGGCAGCCCAGGTTCAGTTTCTGGACGTGGACCTACGCCACCCATCGGCGGCCACGCTATGGCGGCCCACATAGAAAATATAGGACGACTGGCACAGATTTAGCTCAGGGGGAATCTTCTTCAGCAGAAAACAAAAGAGAGAGAGAGAGAGTTGGGGTCCTCCTGCAGCCCCTGAGGAATGGCTGGCTTTTCAGGCCTGGGGAGATGGTCAGCCAGCAGAGGCTGAATGTCCCCACTGACATCAGGACCCAGGAAGCCAGTTCCCATGCCACCTCTGTGCCTCAGCCCCTGCCCTCCCACGGGACTGGAAGAAAAGGGGCTTGAGTCCTCCAGGGGTGTCACAGAACAGAAGAAAGTCTAAGGCAGGGGAGGGGTTGAGGTGGCATGGCCAGACCTGAGCTGTCCATGGCAGCCACGAGCCACCTGTGGCCACTGAACGCTAGAAATGAGGCCGGTCCAAATCAAGCTGTGCTATACAGCGTGCCTCAGAGGCTTCACACACAAAAGAATGAAAAATATGTCAATAATTCTTACATTGATCACATGGTGAAATGCTAATATGGAATATATTGGGGTACATATTAAAATAAATTTCACCTGGCTTTAAATTGTTACATGTGCTACTAGAATTTTAAGTTTCACAGGTGGCTTGCCTTATCCTTGTGTTGGGCACCGCTGGTCTGGATCCCACCTTCCCTGATCGGGGGGAGGGGAGTGCCTTTCTTAGAAAGAGCATCCTTAGTGTTCATGCAGCTGCGGCCAGCGCTCTGGCTCTCTGAAGTGCTGCAAAGGCGGGGGAGGCAGACCCTGTGGGTTGAGAGGGAGGCCTTGTGAGGGGGTTCCTCTGCGTCTCTGTCCCCAGGCTGGATCACGGTTTTCCCTTTGCAGGGAGGAGCAGAGTCCTGTTCTCTTGTTTGAGAAGGGGGACCTCTTCATTTTGTAGATTTGACACTGTTCCTGGACATCCCATAGCTCAAGGAAACCACTTCTTTCATCGGAGTCACCGTAAACCCTCTTGGGGCCTGTCTGACGGTGAAGGTAGACATTCTCATGTTCAAGGTTCTCCACTCCAGACGTGCGCGGGCCTCGTGGGCCCGGCCGAGGCTCAGCAGAGGGCGCTGCTGGGAGAAGGGTTCGCCGGTCTCCGCTGGCCCGCGCTCGCCACCTAATCCCCGAGGCAGGAAACAGCTGTCCTCCCTCTGTGGGCCGGCCGAGCGGGTGCCGCGCTCCACAGAGCTCTCCTCTCCCCCGCGCAGCTGGGCGGCCAGAGCCGTCGCCTCCTGCTGTCTAGACTTCATCCTGAGGTCTGGGGGTCTGTGTGAGGAGTGTGGAGCGTGCTCTTGGACAGAGCGATCAGAACAGGGTTGTGTTCCTTTGCAGGAGTAACTCCTGGATCCAGGGAAAAGAGCTCCTATAGACTTAGCAGGGGTCAGTGGCTACGTTCCATTTGCTCTTTGCTTCCTGTTCTTGTCTAGACTAACAGATTTCAGTTTTAAGGTGAGAAACTGGAGATAAAGTGACAGTGGGGCAGCACGCTTCCCAGCTTCCCTCCAACAGGGTGTAGGCAGAGCTGAAGGTCAATTTCAGATTGTCACCCCTCATTTGTGTCCACACAAGTCCAATATGTGAAAATGCAGCAGTTTGCTTAAAGGCTTGTGTGTAAACAGTACTAACCAACTGAAGCATTTTTCAGGACAGCCTAAGAATAAGCTTGTGTTCAGAGAACTGAAAATTCATAGCTTTAATGTTGCACTATTGTAACCTTAAAATTATTCTTAATAGATGAATGCCAAACTATCATGTAAGAACATGCATCCCAATAATAAATGCAAAGAAATGTAAGAGCTCTTAAACCCTCTCAGGTCCACCTGAGCTCACCGTGTATTGCAGAAATCAGTGGGGTCCCCGCGCCACTCAGGAGCACCCGGAAGGGACAGATACCACCTCCTACTGGTGCAGGGAGCGGATCAGCTCCAACACCCGGTCCCAAGTCCGTCGCACCCGAGGGCATGGCCTGGATCCTTCTTTTTTCTATCTGCTGGGCCCTGTACACTGGCGCTGAAGTGCGTGTGAGGGCTCTACGGGCCTCACCTGCAGCCTGTGGGGGAGGCATGAACGGCTCCCTGGGCGGTGCCCCCGCTTTGGGCCGAGGGCGTCCCAAAGAACCCGGGCCCTGAGAGACCACTGTCTCCCCCAGGCCCACCCCACCCGCAGTCTTACACCCCAGCAGGGGCCGAGTTCAGTGGATTCAGTGAGTTAGGAATGTCATGCAATGATCTGGATAGGATTCAAATAGATGAAAATGGAGGATCTGGTAAAACACTGGCTTCCAAACCGACAGCAGTCTAATTTGGATCGTGTGAAACGGCTGGGAAAGGATGAGTGACTGTGACTTTCTCGCTGCCCAGTGTTTTGCTGGATTAATGTAAACTGCTTTGTTTGCAGGGTTTATTGTCATCCCAAAACCAGGCCAATTCTCCAGGTGGAACTGTAGTGTAGCGACCCCTCTACTGCTCGAAAATTCTCACCCCGACACGGTCTTGAGGGAGTGACGACAACGGAGCCATGAGCTGCGCTTCAGCCACGAGCGTCAGACACTCGCGGGAGGCAGGTGTCAGCCGGAGCCGTGTGCGCATGAGCACCGCGGCGCGGGGGCTCGCTGGGCACGGCGTCCTCCTCCGCTCACCCAAAGAAGTTGTCTCCATTTTTAAATCATTCTTTTGGGGCTGCAGTAAAAAATAAGAAATGAGATTTTTCTTGCTTTTTACTCTACGACTTAATGTAATTAAAATCTCATATATATATATATAGATAGATAGATAGATATGTAAATGTGTGTGTGTAAAAAACATATATATAGTGTAAAATAAAATATTTCTTGGACAAGAAATTCCCTTAAATTCAACTGTTATAAATAGTACTTCACTCTGTCTGTTTTTGCACTGGTTTTTTAGACCTTAGGTCAGAAGACCACCTAGAATGCACTCATAAAGAAAGTTGTTACTTTCTGACCTAAACATGTAATTCAGAAAGACAGATGCTGCAATCATAGATTTTTAAAAGTTGTTTGCACTTAAAATAGTTTAATGCTGTTAGAAAATTACTTTGAATATGGGTATAATGGTCCTCCAAGGTGTGGAGTGAAGATGCCCTTTTTAATCTGTTAACATTTATTTTAATACTGTTGTTTCCAATGCAGTCAACTCTGTATTATATGTATAAATAATGTAATTCTGCTATTGGGGGAAATGGTTACTTCACTAGTAATTTTCATCAATTAAGAGTGATATTTCTAATTCACAAAGAAAATATTAAAACTATCTTGAATATATCGTTTGCTTATCTTCTGTTAAACTGGCTTTTTTTTTTTTTTTGAGGAAGATTAGCCCTGAGCTAACTACTGCCAGTCCTCCTCTTTTTGCTGAGGAAGCCTGGCCCTGAGCTAACATCGTGCCCATCTTCCTCTACTTTATATGTGCTTTATACCACAGCATGGCGTGCCAAGCGGTGCCATGTCCGCACCCGGGATCCGAACCGGTGAACCCCGGGCTGCCGAGAAGCGGAACGTGCGAACTTAACCACTGCGCAACCGGGCCGGCCCAAACTGGCTCAATTTTTAATGTAATTTTTTGTTGAATTAAATGTTTAGTATGGAATTTTTTCATCCTTTTTACACCACGTTCCTCGAAGCCCTCTCCATCAGTCACGGTCCATTTTAAGACAGACTATTCAAACCGTGGCTCATCTGGAGAGTTCTTTGGCCCTGCACAGTCTCCCTGACCGTGGCCATCGCTCACGGTCTCCCCCACCGTGGCCACCCTCACAGGCAGCTGCGCACAGCCGGCGCTTGCAGCGAGTGTTTTCCGTACAGCTTCAAGTCCACCAGCGCCTCTCTTGCCATTGAAAGCCTGTGACCACGCACAACCCGGTCTCCAAGGTGAGTATGAACGTGCTTTGTTAATGACACGGGGACATGAAATGGCTAATGAAATGATGACGGGGGGTTTTACTTGGTTGAAACCAGTTCACGAGCAACTTGGAACGTAGGTCACTTCCACACCTACTTGTAGACCCTCCAGGTTACCAGAATCATAACAATGGCAATCCTCCACAGTTGGACCCTTTGAAGGTGCTTTTATTTGGTGAGCTTCAAACTATGAACTGTCGGAAACACATTGCTCTGATCACGTTAAATTTGGGGCATGTCTAACTGATCTTAAGCTAGAAAAGATGAGTACACACCTTTCCACTCGGAAGTGCCAGATGCTTGTGGAGCCCGTCACAGGGATGTGCGCTACAGTGGGCGCCTTCTGGAGAGGTGAATACTACACAATACTAAGACACCTGGGCATTTTAAGTCAAAGTGATATATCAGAATTTATGTATCATATACTTTCCAAATGACCATAGTGGGTCCAGCCCGGTGGCGCAGCAGTTAAGTTTGTGCATTCCGCTTCAGTGGCCCGGGGTTTGCCAGTTTGGACCCCGGGCACGGACATGGTACTGCTTGGCACGCCATGCTGTGGTAGGCGTCCCACATATAAAGTAGAGGAAGATGGGCACAGATGTTAGCTCAGGGCCAGTCTTCCTCACCAAAAATAGGAGGATTGGCAACAGATGTTAGCTTAGGGCTGATCTTCCTCAAGAAAAAGTCCTTCATATTAAAGTATTACTATGTTTTAGATAGATAGTTGGATATTTGGTATTTCCATCATCTTAGTCAAAGCACTGGTTTCTAGGTGCCGTCAGTTACACAGGAAACCAACTCATAGGTTCAAAAGACCTACAAGGAAGCCACGAATATTTCTGGAGATCAGAAAGGGCTGCCCTTGAACATCAAGTCTAGAATTCTTGATTTTGTGATCCTTCTGGTTCGTCTTTTTCTGTGTACTTCTTGTGTATTTGTAGGAAACGGCAGGTGAATCTGGTTGGCACCAGGATATCAATTATGTGTGTTAAAATTCAAGCATGGTCAGTCAGATGGCTCTTGGGCTCTGGAATGCAGCTTGCAGTCGATCATCGCTGTACAGAAGCTGTCACACGCGTCCCAGTCTGCTGTCGATGCGTCAGTCCTAGGAACGAATCTGTACTTTTATGGCTCGATTCCTAAGATTGGTCCCTGGCCCAGTGGTCCAAGATAGCTTCCAAAACCAAAGTGCCTTGTGCTGCTCCCCATCCCTGCCACCAGCACGGACGCGCAGCACTCAGCAGCCAGGCCGGCCTCCATGCCCTCACTCAGAAGCCACAGAAGGAGGCGGAAGTCGGCTCAGCTCCCCTGGTACAATTTTCCTTTGCTTTTACTTCCTGCTGTGAGCTTTCTTACATGTTTGGAGTTGGTGAGTGCGTGCTGCTGTGTGGGGACGGGTCTGAGGGAAGCCGAGAGGAGGCAGGCAATCCAGGGAGTGGAGTCGCGCTCAGCTCTGGGCCCCTGTGGCGAGTTTGCTGGCTGGTGCTGTAGCCTGGCCAAAGGAAACAGGCAGCGCGCCCAGGGGTGCCCTCACTACCAGGGGATGGCAGGGCCCAGGTCACTTGGGAGGCATTGCCTCCGCTTTTCTACTCTGTGAGCAGGTTTCCAAAGTTAACGTGCCGTCAGAGTTGGAAGCCTTGGACCGAGAGGTCTGCCCACTGCCTCTGCCCACACCACCCCCAGACCCCATCTCAGCGTGGGGACAGTCGGCCCAGTGCATCCGCCCCAGACGTCCTCCTGGGCTGTGATAGGAGGGCTCAGTGCAGAAGGGTGGGCACCAGGCACTCGGCAGGTGCTCAGCAATGTGGAATGAGTGAATCTGGGTGGCAGTGGAGGAGGTGGGAGACTCCAGCCCCACTTCCCTCTGGAGTTCTGTGGCCAAAACTCAGGTGCTTCAGAAGCCATTTACTAGTGTCGCCCAGAAAGGCTGAAATGGCCTTGCTGCCTTTCTTCACAATCTTTCCAATCCGGAAGGGGCAGAGACCCTGCCAGGGCTCTGGCAGCAGGCCAGGGTGGCCTCCTGTGCCCTCTAAGCCCTGGCCAGTACCTGCCCGTTGCTGGGCCCACAGACAGGGTAGAGAGAGAGCCAGGAGTGATTTTGGCTGCCCCAGTGACTGGCTCCCCTGCTGGGAGCTGGACGGGGATGGGGCGGGGGGGGGGGGGGGGGGGGGGGGGGGGGGGGGGGGGGGGTAGCAAGCTCCTAGCGATGCAGGAAGCCCCAGGGTGGCCAATGGCTGTTCCTGCTCCCAATCTGCAGGAAAGTGGGTTTGCCCTCGTGAAGCTGATGTGGAGCCCCGCTGGGGGCTCCGCCATGGAGGCAGGCGTGCAGTGACCCGGGCCAGCTCCGCCTGCTGCAGGGCTCGCTGGAGCTGGGCTGTGGTCTCCTGCTTGTCTGCCCAGCCGGGAGGCCCCACTCTGGCTGCGCCTGATGTGCCAGACCTGACGCTGCTTCAGAGAACTTGATTCCAGAGGCCAAGTCAAAACAAAAAGGGCCTCATTTTCTGGACAGGTCGTGTCCCTCAAGGGCCTGGCCTGCCCCAGAGAGCCCCCACTTGCTGCCTTGCCACAGGAAGGGACAAGTTTGCTTTCTCAAAAAGGTATGCAAAGAACTTTAAAGATGTTCCCTTCAAATTTTATAAGGGGAGCAACAGTTTTCCTAAAGACACAAACACTTGTCAGTCCTTAGAGGTGCCCTAACTCAGAGCCAGTCCTCGAGGACAGCAGCGTGCCCTCTGAGCCGCCGCCTCCATGGGGCTGGCTTCTCCAGCAGCCTCCCCCGCCGGGCTCAGAGTGTGTGCTCACCGCCTTGCGGGTCCCTCTCTGCACCCGTCTCCTCTGGCCATCTGTCTCGCCGGTCCCTCCTGCTGCTGGGCCGCAGCACCAGCTGTGTTGGTGAAACTTTCAGCTTCCATGTGGCTGAGAACTCTCAGGTCCTCTGCAGAGGCAGAACAGCGCCCTTCCTGCCCCCCAACACCACTGCCACAATGGGGCGTCCCTGAAGGCCCTCAAACGGGTTAGAGAGAAAGCTCCTTCCAACCCCTCCCCATGTGCACACAGCTCTGAATGCCACCTAAGCTTCATTTCTGGTCTGGAACTTGCCCTTCCTGGGCTCCTTGCTCCCTCATGGCCCATACCCACAGGGTCTCCACCCGACGCGGCCTCCGTGCTCACAGCCCCTCTCTCTACCCCGGCCTGTAAAATACTGGCTCCAGCCTGCCCCTCCTGTGGCTGCCACATCCACCCCACCACAGCCCAGCTGTCCTGTCACTCCTGGTTCTGCTTCACCCCTTGCTGGGTGGGCTGGAGGTGATGGCCACCGGAGAGCATGTGGAAGGGTGTCACATATCTGTCTTAAAAGAAGGAACAAGAAGACTAAGAACTAACCTGCGAAAGTGCTTTTTTTTAAACACTGTAAGTTTGAGAAGATGAGAAAAAGCAGGAACACTCAGTTATCAGGTTACATTCCAAGACAAAAAGGGGCTTCAGAGGGTTTCTTTCCTCGGCCTGGCAGCCTGGCCACTGCCTGCCCTGCTCTCTCCAGCACCACTGCTGCCTCCAGCGTTCCCATGCCACCCCCACAAGGAAAGAGGCTTCTCTCTGTGCCCAAGCTACCGTGGGGGCCCCGGAGACAAAGCTCAGGGCACCCCCAGGCCGTCAGGAAGCAGTGCTGTCTACTCACAGGAGCTGGAACGAGGCAGCCCCTGCGAAGCCTGGCGCTCTGACCTGCCCTCGTGCTCGGCCCGCCTGGCGCAGCTACGGCTCCCTGGGGGCACCGGGGCACCGAGCCCAAGCCTGCGCTTACCCCTTAGTGGTTTTTCAAGTGAAACAAAATTAAGCCGAACCAGAGTCTTCCTAACAAAATCAATTCCCCTAATAAGCCCCTAATAGCAAAAGCTAAAATACAGGAATGTATAGTCGGTACACATGTTTAACTCAGAAAATATTAAAACAAAATATTGTAATGATAGCTTATTTTTTAATAAAAATCCAGGGTCTCCAATAGCATGACCTGGCAGCTGTAACATGCTACCACACTACTAGTGATGGACTCAAGAAGGCACAACACGCAGGGCCCGTGCTGAAACCAAGCCTAAATAATACATCATATAAATTATAATTTCTCTGTTTTGATTCACATAAAAAATTACAAAATATTCCCTGCTCCAAATTCTTAGGTGATGAAAATAAAATCAAACCCTAGAATGAGGTGGTTTTACAAATGTATTAGACTGGAACATCCAGGACAGCTGCTTCCGGGATGTGAGTACCCATGGGCCGGCGGGCTCCAGGCCGGGTGGTGCCGCTGTCTGCGGGGCAGCCCTCGCCGGGGAGGCCAGGCCTCTCCTGGAGCCCTCCATCGGCTCAGAGGCCGTCGGCCCGCTGGGCGGCTGCGCCTGCTTTCAGGCTGCAGAGTAGGCGAGCTGGCTGGAGCTGCTCAGTACCCTCCAGCTTTCCTTCCTATTGTGGGCAGGCGACACTGTCTCAGGTTGGGCTTAATGTCCTTCTGCGTATCTGTCTGTTAAAGAAAATGACACACATTCAGTGGCGGCCAGGCTGGGTGCGCGCGGCGCGCTGAGGGGTGCTAGGGAGAGAGGCTACCTTTGGGTTTGTGCCAACACACTTCAGGGGTCTCAGCACCGGGACTGTCCCGCTGGCTCCGGGCCCGAATGCTGACTGCAGCGCGGGGCTGGAGTACGAGGAGAGTTTGGTCACTCCTGAAAACTTCAGTTTGGGCAGTTCCATCAGGCAGGCTGGTCCTTGTCTCTTGGGATGGTCCTCCTCTTGCTTTATGGACTGTTTCTTGAAATAAAACACAGGTCAGTTGAACATATGATGGTGTCCCCTTTATGGAAATTAGGAAAAACAAAAGAGGCTCTTTTGCAATACTTTTGCCTAATACAATTTGACTGTGAGGTGTGACCATTCGGTGACTAGACAACAGACACTGTGTCCCAGCCACCCAAAAGGGAGGTGGACACTGGCTCATAGAGCCCCACAGTGGAGGCAAAGCCTCCACACATCAGTGCTCATGCTGAGCCCCGCCCCTCGGTGCAGCCGCTGCGGCCTGACCTGGCCTGACATCTGGGGAGGCCACACTGTGACGCTGTCATGGCAAGGGCAGCTCTCCAACGGCCAAGGCCAAGGACGCCTCTGCTCTAACTCCCTGGGGAGTCCATTGACAAACTACACCTTCAGGCCAAATCTGCCCACTGCCTGCTTTTGTGTGGCTAGTGAGCTAAGAATGGTTTTTGCATTTTTTAATAGTCGGAAAAAACTTCATGGCCTGTGAAAATTATATTAAATTTAACTTGAGTGTCCAGAGTTTTACTGAAACACAGCCCCACCATTGGTTTATGTATCGTCCACGGCACCACAGTTAAAAGAGTGGCTTGTGACAGACTTTCTGTACCACAAAGCCTAACTGGTTACAGACAGCGTGGGCCTCGGCCCTGATGGCGGGGGGCCTTTGGTGGGGTGCCAGCAGGAGTGAGCCGGTCAGACAAGCATCTGATGCGGAGGGTGGGGAGGCCGAGCAGGGACGGCAATTAGGGGGCAAAACGAGGGAGGCTAAGGCCAAAGGAGCAGGATGCCCACAGTTTAGGGCCTGAGCAGCTGGAGGGGAGCTGCCTCCATCTGGGAGGGAAGGTGCGGGGAGAAAAGCAAGTTTGGGGGGAAAGATCAGGAGATGGGGTTCAAACATTTTGCCTTTTAAAGATCCAAGTGGAGCCATCAAGCAGGTGGTGGACACAGAAGTACAGATTTCTGCAAAGCTGCCTTGTTGCATCCACAGCTCCGAGCACGGGGTGACACTCAAAGGCTGGGATGAATGCGAAATAAATGATGGAAGGGTGCACTATCACCCAGAGTCGGGGCCAGCCCAGAACTGTGAACCTGGTGGGACTGAGCAAACAGGGGCCACAAGGTACGTGAAAGGAAAGGTGAAGATGTGGCAAAGTGAAGCTATTGTTTCTAAACCAAAAAGTGTGTGAAACAGTCTCTGTGACTAGACAGATAGTCATCTGGGACCTGCTGTGCTCGGGGGGCTGGTGGCCGAGTGGAGAAGTCATGGGCTGCCCAGGGCTGGCTAAGTGTCCTGGGGCAGTGTTTATAGCTTCTCTGTGCCCCCTGCTAGGGTCAGTCTGAGGGCACAACAAGGTGACGTCTGTGAGGTGCTTTGGCATAGAACCTGGCACATACGCACGTAAGAACCCTACCTCCCTTGTTTGGGCCTGCTCACAGGGACGCTGTGGTTGACCCTTGGCTACTGTGGCAGAAAGGGCAGGAGCAAGCAGAGCCGGGCTCCCTACGTCCTAACACATGGAGACATCCTCTGCCATGGTGCCAGGCCCATTTCCAGCTCACTGATTTCATCCAGTACCTGCTTTCTGCCCTCCTTTGAAATTTGCCAGTTGTTACTGAGTAGTTGCGGTGCCACGGGGCGCTCTGGAAGGAAGGCCTTTCTGTGGCTTGTCAGAGACTGCTTCTCAGTTGCCCTACAGGGAAGAAGAGAGGAGGGAACGCCTCCCCTGAGAGCCCGCACAGCACGACTGCTTGGTCGCCCGCTCTGGCTCCAGATTTGTCTATTGTGTGCATTGTCACTACTTCTTTTCCACGTGAACTATCATGAGGAGCGTTTTTCCTTTTCTGTCTCAGCCTGACAGTCTGTGGGCCAGGAGCAGAGAGGCCTCTGTGAACCATGGGCACTGCCCTGCCACAGGCTCACAGCCCCGCCCAGTGACTCGAGGTTTGGGTCAGACGTCACCTCCATGGTCACACAGGCGGGAGTGGACAGAGGTGTGGAGTTAGATGCCCTCAGGGCAGGTGCCATTCGACACACTCTCAAACCTTACAGCGGGTTGACCTGTTTTACAGGGATGTGTGCGGGCTCCTCCCCGGGTCTTAACAACTGGAGCCTTGGCATCAATCACAAAGCAGCTACAAAGCCCTCCTTACACCCTGTTGTGGAGCCACTAACTGCCTCCTTTTGGGAGGATATACCAGAAAAGAGCAAGGCGTGGGTTCCTAGAAGCGCTGACACTGTTCAGGACAGAGGGAGCTGCTCCTAGGAACCACGTGCCCCAGCATGTGCCCCACGGCTCTCACCAGCCAGCTCCTGCGGCCGCGCAGAAACCCGCCAGCGAGCCTACCTCTGCTCGTGGAAGTAGGGATGCTGCAGGGCCTGGTGGGCAGTGATTCTCTCATCGGGATCATAGGCCACCATTGCGTGCAGGAGGGAGAGGCACTGTGGGGACACGGTGGCTGTCAGCAGAGGTATTCCTGATCCCTTTTTAAAAGGAAAATCAAAACTCATAGCTCTCGACCTGTATTAAAAGCCCAATGATAATAAACAATCATGCCATTATATAGAGCACTTGGCTGGTCCACAGTCATGACTCTACAGTTGTCCAAACCCATAGAACGTACAACACAAGAGTGGGCCCTCCTGGACACTGTGATAACGACATGTCAGTGTCGGCTCATCAACTCTAACAGGTGGGCCACTCTAGTGCCGATGCTGACGGTGGGGGAGGCTGTGCAAGTGTGGGGCCAGGCAGCACACGGGAAACCTCTGCACTCTCCACTCAGTATTGCTATGAACCTGAACCTACTCTAAAAAATGGTCCATTTTTTAAAAAAGAAGAAGGGGTCATGAAATCTGTTATGCTATAAATGTAAGAAAAATACTTTTCCTCGAAAAGACTAATATCACATTTCCACCTGAGAGGAATGAAATAAAGTTTAAAAAAAGAAAAAGAAAGAATCCTAAAATAATTGTCATCTCCTTACCTTCCTAGGGTCTGGGAGGTGCTAGGTTCTGCCTGCCCACCTCAGCCCAGGGGCCCTCCCTCCCCACTCCCCAGCCTCAGCTTCATCTTTGACAAAAACAAAACCCTAACGACTGCTGGTCTGGGTGCCAGCGTGGTCAGTAACGCTGGGTGATGGCTGCATGAAGTCCTCGCTGCAGAGCTGGTGCTTGGGTCCCTTTTTCACCCACCAGCCTCTAAGTCCCGTGTAAATATTCAGGGCACAGACCCTCACCAAGACTGTGAGAATCCTTCCGTGATGCTTGAGGGAGAGTGCACTTTGGGGGGCCCCAGGGGTGACAGCTCTGTCTGAGCAGCCACTACGCTAGTGCCTCAAGGTAAGTGCAGCACTTCAGTGGCAACGGGGACCCAAGTGGACTGAGGGGCTGCAAGGGCAACAGAGACACAGCCTGGCCCCACCCTCAACTTGCTCGCACCACTAGCCCTGGCAGGGGGCGACTCCACGTGGGACTCTTGGGGGCACACCACACTTACTGTTTGAACTTGGTGAGGGTCTTCTCAGCAGGCGTGCCAATGACCTCATGGATTTTTGAGATCTGGTCCAGCTCATTGGCTCCAGGGAAGAGGGGCTGCAGACTGGAAGGGCATGACAAGGGGCTTTGGTTAGGACAGGCCGTGGCCCTGTTCATCCTGGCTAGTCTCCCTGCACCGGATGGCTCACTCACAGGGAAACTCGAGGAAACAATCCTCCCGCTAGATGGTAATCCTCGAAGCCAACAGATTTCCATCCCCCTTCTACTTAGGCCTTTCTGCTTCTACTTCATCAGCAGGCCCTACGTGTCCTTCTAAGAGACAGAGCCACACTCCTGTGTGTGTGACACCATGGAGTCTCTGCAGTGAAATGTGAACACTCACACTGACTGCAATCCATAATCTCCATGCCAAGCCTCCTGATGGCCAAGGTAAGTTTGTTGACAAAAATCCAGGGCGGGGAAGGTCAGGTTTTATCAACAAATGAGTTCCAAGAAAGCTCATTTTTGGAGCTTTTACGGATTTTGGATAAAAGATTTTAGATCTATATGAATAAATTGAATTCATATTACAAGCCACGAAGAAGAGTTTGAAAAATATAGCTCTGATAGTAAGACTAGCTTCTATTCAGGAAGATAGCAACACCTTACGGCTACAGGAGAGAAGAAGAAAAGGCAGGGGAGCAGGAAACAGCTCTGACGTGGGGGAAGCATGACAAAGACAGCACAATTTAATGACGGAGTCACAGCAGGATGCTGTGCTGACTAGATGCCACCAGCCATCATGTTCTTAACATTTAAGTCCTTCAACACTGTTCCAAATTAGTTAAAAGGATTTTAGCACATGAGAAAGGATTTTCTGTTGGCACTTTTAGCTTCAGTGAAATCGCCACTCAGCTTTCCAAAAATAACAAGTCAATGGATCATTGAAAAAATTAAAGAAGAAATCAAAAATAACAAAGTCAAGGAGTGACGTCAGCAACATGGCAGAATGAACTTGCCCAGGATTCTCTCCCTTCCAACACACAAGGAAAAGGGACATCCATATTCCAACAGAGGACATCCTAACAGAACACAAACACGTCAGAGAGACACATGTGGCCACATGATGGAGGGCGGAGAGGCTGGAGACCCCTCAGAAGAGCTGGAACGGGGTAAGAGAAGAGTTTGCTCCCTCCCCTAATAGACTGCAATCTGTGACTGCAGGAGGCCTCCGAGAGGGAAGGAACGGGGGAGGGGACATTCGTTGGTGGGAACATCAAGGACTCTGTAGGGCCCTCGCAGCCCAGAGGGAAGGCCTCTACTGGGGCAAGGGCTTTTGCAAGGGGTGACCTCATCAAGCCAACACCCCAGGAGAGCAGATAGCAAGAGCAGAGTGAGAAAGCCCCAAGAGCACGCAGGAGAAAGTACCCACCCTGCGCCCACTCCACTGCCTGGGATCTTAGCTTAAGGCAGAGCACTCAGCATACATGGCTCTTGACCCCCACCCAGTGGCGATAGGCATTAACTGCAATCAAATAATATCAGAATGCCTAAGACCAGAGCCACCCTGTGTAGGAATACCAAACATTATATCAAATCTCCAGACCAGAGAGAAAACGACAAGTACCCAGAATTCAGTCCTGAGGACACAGAAATATGTAATCTAAATGACAATGAATTCAAAATAGCTATCATCAAAAAACTCAACAAGGTAAAAGAACATAGAGAAACAATTCAACGAGTTCAGGAGCTACTTCACAAGAGAGATTGAAACTATAAAGAAGAATCAATCAGAAATATTAGAGATGACACAGTGGAAGAGATAAAACAAAATACAGATTCCCTGAACACTCAAGTGGACATAATAGAGGAGTGTATCAGCATAATCGAAGACAGACATGTTGAAATGCTCCAGACAGAGGAGGAGAGAGAACTAAGACTAAAAAGAAATGAAGAAAATCTCCAAGAAATACCCAACTCAATTAGGAAATGCAACATAAGAATTACAGGTATTCCAGAAAGAAAAGAGAAGAATGGAGCAGAAAGCGTGTTCAAAGAAATAATAGCAGAGAACTTCCCAAACCTAGGGAAAGAGATGGAAATCCGTGTAGAAGAGGCTTCCAGATCTCCTAGATATGTCAAAGACCTACTGCAAGGCATATAGTAGTAAAACTGGCAAAAATGAATGACAAAGAAAGAATACTAGGGGCAGCAAGGCAGAAGAAAATAACCTACAAAGGAACCGCTATCAGGCTTTCAGTGGATTTCTCTGCAGAAACCTTACAAGCTAGGAGAGAATAGAATGACATATTCAAATCTTTGAAAGACAAAAATTTTCAGCCAAGAATACTCTATCCAGCAAAAATATCCTTCAGATATGATAGAGAAATAAAAACTTTCCCAGACAAACAAAAGCTAAGGGAGTTCATAGCCACAAGACCTTCCCTACAAGAAATGCTCAAGAAGGCCTTCATATCTGAAAAAAAAAAAAAAAGTGGAGAAAGGGGTTACAAAGCATGGAGTAAGGAGATAAATACGTAGACAGAATCAGAATAGGATAGCAAATACTCAAGTATAGCATTAAAGATAAAGGGAAGGAAAACACCAAAACCAAAGATAATCTTGTCATTTTAACCACAAACTCATAACACAAAATGGAATAAGATGTGAGAAAAACAGCTTAGGAGGGGAGGAGGAAAGGGACTGAATGAGTTCAGACTAAGGAAATAAGAGGCCATCAGAAAATGGACTATCTTTATACACAAGATTCTGAATACAAACTTCATGGTAACCATTAAACAAAAAAGCAGAACAGAAACACAAATAATAAATAAGGTGAAAACAAACACATCATAAAAAACTACATAACTCAATGGATAGACCAAAACACACAGGACAAGAAACAAAGGAAATGCATGAGTGATAAAATAACAGCATTAAGCCCTTGTATATCGATAATCACACTAAACGTAAATGGATTGAATTCTCCAATAAAAAGTCACAGAGTGGCGAGATGGATTAAAGAATAAGACCCAAGAATATGCTGCCTCCAGGAAACACATCTCAGCTCCCATGACAAACACAGGCTCAGAGTGAAGGGATGGAAGACAATACTCCAAGCTAATGGCAAACAAAAGAAAGCAGGTGTTGCAATACTTATATCAGACAAAGTAGACTTCAAGATAAGACAGGTAAAGAGAGACAAAGAGGGGCAGTATATAACGATCAAAGGGACACTCCATCAAGAAGACATAACACTTATAAATATCTATGCACCAAACACAGGAGCACCCAAGTTCATAAAGCAACTATTAACAAGCCTAAAAGAAGATAATAATAACACAATAATAGTAGGAGACCTCAACACTCCACTCACATCAATGAACAGATCATCCAGACAGAAAATCAACAAGGAAACAGTGGAATTCAATGAAAAGCTAAGCCAGTTGGACTTAATAGACATATATAGAACACTCCATCCAAAAACAGCAGAATACACATTCTTCTCAAGTGCGCATGGAACATTCTCAAGGATAGACCATATGTTGGGAAACAAGGCAAGCCTCAATAAATTTAAGAAAATTGAAGTAATAACAAGCGTCTTTTCTGATCACAATGCTATAAAGCTAGAAATTAAAATTACAAGAAAAAAGCTGAGAAAGGCACAAGGATGTGGAGACTAAACAACATGCTATTGAACAAGCAATGGATCACTGAAGAAACTAAGGAGAAATCAAAAAATATCTGGAAACAAATGAAAATGACAACATTCCATACCAACTCATATGGGATACAGCAAAAGCCGTATGAAGAGGGAAATTCTTCACAATACAGGCACACCTTAACAAACAAAAAAAAATCCCAAATAACCAATTTCAAATTAGATCTAACTGAATTAGAAAAAGAACAAACAAAGCCCAAAGTCAGCAGAAGGAGAGAAATAATAAAATTAGAGCAGAAATAAATGCCATTGAAACAAAAAAGGCAGTAGAAAGGATCAATGAAACAAAGAGCTGGTTCTTTGAGAAGATAAATAAAATTGACAAACCCCTAGCCAGACTCACAAAGAAAAAAAGAGAGAAAGCTCAGAAAAACAAAATTAGAAATGAAAGAGGAGAAATAACAATGGACACCACAGAAATACAACAGATTATAAGAGAATATGATGAAAAACTCTATGCCAACAAAATGGATAATCTAGAGGAAATGGATAAATTCCTAGACTCTTACAACCTCCCAAAGCTGATTCAAGAAGAAACAGATAATCTGAGTAGACCAATCACAAGGAAAGAGATTGAATCAGTAATCAAAAGCATCCCAAAGAATAAAAGCCCAGGACCAGATGGCTTCCCTGGGGAATTCTACCAAACTTTGAGAGAGGATTTAATACCCATCCTTCTCAAGCTATTCCAAAAAATTAGGGAAGATAGAACACTTCCTAACACATTCTACGAGGCCAACATCACTCTGATACCAAAGCCTGACAAGGACAACACACAAAAGGAAAACTACAGACCAATATTGCTGATGAACATAGATGCAAAAATCCTCTACAAAATCTTGGCAACCCAAATTCAGCATTACATCAAAAGGATCATACATCATGATCAAGTGGATTCACACCAGGGACACTGGGATGGTCCAACATCTGCAAATCAATCAACGTGATACACCACATTAACAAAATGAGGAATAAAAACTACATGATCATCTCAATAGATGCAGAGAAAGCATTCGACAAGATCCAACAGCCATTTATAATAAAACTCTTAACAAAATGGGGATAGAAGGAAATTACCTCAACATCATAAAGGCCATATATGACAAACCCACAGCCAACATCATACTCAATGGGCAGGGACTGAGCACCATCCCCCTGAGAACAGGAACAAGAGAAGGATGCCCACTATCACCACTCTTATTTAACATTGTACTGGAGGTTTTGGCCAGAGCAATTAGGCAAGAGAAAGAAATAAAAGGAATCCAATTAGGGAGTGAAGAAGTGATATCCTTGCTGTTTGCAGACGACATGATCTTATATATAGAAAATGCTAAAGAACCCATCAGAAAACTATTAGAAATAATTATCAAGTACAGTAAAGTAGCAGGGTACAAAATTAACTTACAAAAATCAGTTGGTTTTCTATACTCTAATAACAAACTTACAGAAAGAGAACTCAAGAATACAACTCCATTTACAATCGCAACTAAAAGAATCAAGTACCTAGGAATAAATTTAACCAAGGAGGTGAAGGACTTATACAATGAAAACTATGAGGTATTACTGAAAGAAATTGATAATGACATAAAGAGATGGAAAGAGATTCCATGCGCATGGATTGGAAGAATAAACATAGTTAAAATATCCATACTACCCAAAGCAATCTACAGATTCAATGCAATCCCAATCAGAATCCCAATGACATTCTTCATGGAAACAGAATAAAGTATCCTACAATTCATATGGGGCAACCAAAGACCCCGAATAGCTAAAGCAATCTTGAGAAATAAGAACAAAGCTGGAGGCATCACAATCCCTGACTTCAAAATGTACTACAAAGCCATAGTGACCAAAACGGCATGGTACTGGTACAAAAACAGGCACACAGATCAATGGAACAGAACTGAAAGCCCAGAAATAAAACCACACATCTATGGACAGCTAATCTTCGACAAAGGTGCCAAGAACATGCAATGAAGAAAAGACAGTATCTTCAATAAATGGTGTTGGGAAAACTGGACAGCCACATGCAAAAGAATGAAAGTAGACCACTATCTCATGCCATACACAAAAACAAACTCAAAATGGATCGAAGACTTGAAGAAAAGTTCTGAAACCATAAAACTCCTGGAAGATAATATAGGTAATACACTCTTTGACAATGAACTTAAAAGGATCTTTTCTCAGACAAGGGAAACAAAAGAAAAAATAAACAAGTGGGACTTCATCAGACTAAAGAGCTTCTGCAAGGCAAAAGAAATTAGATTAAAACAAAGAGACAACCCACCAACTGGGAGAAAATATTTGCAAATCATATATCCAACAAGAGGTTAATCTCCATAATACATAAGGAACTCACACAACTGAACAATAAAAAAACAAACAGCCCAATCAAAAAAGGGGCAGAGGAGATGAACAGATGTTTTTCCAAAGAAGATATACAGACGGCCGATAAACACATGAAAAGATGTTCAACATCACTTATAAGCAGGGAAATGCAAATCAAAACTACACTAAGATACCACCTTACACCTGTTAAAATGGCTATAATCACTAAAACTAAAACTAAAACTAACAAATGTTGGAGACGGTGTGGAGAAGGGAACCCTCATACACTGCTGTTGGGAGTGCAGACTGGTGCAGCCACTATGGAAAACTGTATGGAGATGCCTCAAAACACTAAAAATAGAAATATCCTATGACCCAGCTATCCCACTACTGGGTATCTACCCAAACAACTTGAAATCAACAATCCAAAGTGATATATGCCCCCCTGTGTTCATTGCAGTACTACTGACAATAGCCAAGACATGGAAACAACCCAAGTGCCCATCGACTGATGATTGGATAAAGAAGATGTGGTATATATACAATGGAATACCGCTCAGCCATAGAAAAGACAAAATCCTCCCATTTGCAACAACGTGGATGGACCTGGAGGGAATTATGCTAAGTGAAATAAGCCAGACTGAGAAAGACAAACATCAGATGATTTCAGCCACATGTGGAATATGACCAAACACATGGACAAAGAAAACAGTTCAGCGGTTACCAGGGAAGGGGGTTTGGGGGGAGCACAGGGGATGAAGGGGAGCACTTGCGTGGTGACACACAAGAAATACTGTACAACTGAAATCTCACATTGATGTAAACTATTATGAACTCAATAAAAATTTTTTAAAAATAAAGTCAATTATCAATACGAATGATCTAGAATCAAAACAAAGTGAGTCCTGAAGTGCACGTATGTCTGTAGTTATGACGTTGTGAGTCAAGGAGGCAGAGGAGACCTGGGGCCCTGCCTATGCTGGGTCTACTGTTCTGATACACGTCACTCGGATGTTCAATTCACCTGCCCGTCCTTAATGATCCACTATGAGCAGGAAGGGGCTGCCCCAATCCCTCCTTGGGCTTCTTCAGCATGACCCCCTGCTCACCTCTGAGTGGGACAAGCCCTCCTCCCTTCTTCCCGGGCCACTGCTCTGTCCAGTGTAAAGCCCAAAGGCTGGGGGGTGTGGAGGCCAGGGAGGACGGTTAGGATTGGGGCTTTCTAGAGTCCAGCTGTGCCAGAAGGTAACTCATCCTCACACCTGGGGCCAGAGGACCCTCTTTGATATGACTGGACCTCTTAGGGTAGGCCCTAGGGGACCACCTGCTCACACCTCCCCATGGAGGTGGCAGTAAACACGTTTCCACTCTGTTCCTGAACTGGGTAATCAATCATTTCACTGATGATGCCAAATAAAGAGGCCCATCGACCCAGGGCCCGGATGTGCCAGTGGAAAGAGGTAACTGATGGTATTCTGTTCTCAAGGAAAAGTATGTGACAAAAAGTAAAACGAAAGCCTAGTAAATTTTCTGTGAAGTTAAAAAACAAACACCAGAATGACTATAAAATCTGTATTGTAAAGGAAGGGGCCTGGCATGAAGCCACTCAGTCGGCTGAGCCTTGTGACCTGCCTTAGGACACTGACACAGAGAGGTCCATCTGCCCCAGGGGGTTCTCAGCCCCGAGGCAGCCTCAGGTCTACCTGGTGATCTCGTAGAACACACAGCCAGCACTCCACAGGTCCATTTTGTAGGTGTAGAACCCATCGGTGAGGAGACACTCTGGGGCCCGGTACCAGCGGGTAGAGATATATTCTGTGTACGGCTGCTTGGAATAGACACTCCGGCAGGACCCAAAGTCCCCTAATTTCAGGACATCCTGCTGCAAGGGGGCAGAAAAGCAGTGACAAATAATGTCATATAAAGCAGCTCTTGTAATACAAATTATTTCAAATATTTACTTATGTACTAACAAGAAAATTACTAGCATCTAAACTAGCTTATAAAACACAAATTACTGGCTTTATAAGCACCTGAAAGTGCCTCTAACAGACGCGGAAGTGGTGTTTGTGCTCGTGGAGCATGTTTACAAACGTTCTGGCTAGGTTTTACAAGCATTCCCAATGTCACAGGCTTGGGATCCCGTCACAGCGCGAGTCTAGAACGCAATTATACACTGCAGCCACAGCGCTGTTAGGCCTTGCACTTCCAGCACCGTCCAGCTCTGCCGGCAGCTTCATCCTCCGCTCAGGGGCAGCTCAGGGCTGGCTCACGTCACATGGCTCTTTGGAGCAAGTCAGACATACCAGGGAAACAGGTTTTGAGATATTTCTTCCATTTTCTTTACCCCTCACATTCAGGTAATAAAATACAGGCTGTTAATGAATTTGGAGCTTGGGCACCTACAGCTACAGGATCATTAAACATAGCACATGTCTTAGCCAGATTATCAAGAAACCTCATTCTAATGGCCTTTTACCTCTGTTCCCATTACCCAATACATCATGTGGGGCTTTCAACAAAAATTATAAGGCACGTTAAAAGGCAAGAAAAAACACAGTCTGAAGAGACAAAGCAAGCATCAGAACCAGACTCAGATATGGCACAGACTTTAGAATTTTAGACTTAGGGAATTTAAAATAAATATGATTAATTTGTTAATGGTTCCAATGGAAAAAATAAACAACATCCAAGTTCAGATGGGAAATGAAAGCAGAAAGATGAAAATTCTAACAAAGAATCAAAAGGAAACACTAGAAATAAAAACACTGTAACAGAAATAAAAAATGACTTTGATAGGCTCATCAACAGACTAAACACAGCCAAGGAAAGAATCAATGAGCCGGAAGAGGTGCCACTAGAAACTTCCCCTACTGAAATGCAAAGAGAAAAAAGAATGGTAAAACCAGAACAGAACGTTCAAGAACTGTGGGACAATTTCAAAAGGTGTGGTGCGCCTATACACCATGGACAAATCACAAAATAACGATGCTGAGTGAAGAAGCCAGAGCAAAAGAGAGTACATACTATATAATTCTATTTATAGAAAATTCTAGAAAATGAAAACTAATTTATAATGACAAAAATCAGTCTTTGCCTGGGCACAAGGGATGGAGAGAGAGGGCTTACCAAAGAGCATGAGGACACTTTTGGGGGGTGACAGATTTGTTCGTTAACTTTACTGTGGTGATGGCTTCATGGGTGTATACATACGCCAAAACTTACCACGCTGAACACTTGAAATATGTATACTTACGTGGCTTTGGATGGAGACAGACCTGAGCTCAAATCCTGCCTCTTCCACTTTCATATTTAGAGTATCCAGAATGATAATGTGATTGGAGTTTATTTTTGTACATAGTATGAGAAGGGTGCCTAACATTATTTTCTTCCAGATGTATAGTTACGTTGATAGCATTTGTTAAATAAATCATTTTTTCCAAATTGGGAGAAAAAAAATTATAGCAAACATGGTATCCAGTTATATGGGACTGAAAGCATACCCAAAGAAAAGTTTGTTTTTTTTTTAAAGATTGGCACCTGAGCTAACAACTGTTGCCAATCTTCTTTTTTTTCTTTTTTCTGCTTTATCTCCCCAACTCCCCTCCCCCCCGCCCCCCCGTACAGAGTTGTATATCTTAGTTGCAGGTCCTTCTAGTCATGGTTCATGGGACGCCACCTCAATGTGGCCTGACTAGCAGTGCCATGTCCACGCCCAGGATCCGAACCCTGGGCTGCCGCAGCGGAGCGCGTGAACTTAACCACTCGGCCACGGAGCCGGCCCCAAAAAAAGTTTTTATATTCAACCTTTATTCTGATATCAATTTTTCATATAAAAGTTCTTACCTTTATTAATATATTTTCTGGTTTTACATCTCTGTGAAATATTCCATTTCTGCATTTAATATAAAAGGAAAGATCAAATTAATCGTACTTCATTCATTCAAATTCTTTTACATTGTGTTTTTAATGAATGTTAGCACATTTTATTAATCTGAGCACTGTCAAGTCTCCGAATGCGTACCTGTGCATATGATCAAGGGATGTACATAACTGGTACATATAGCGCATAATTTTTTTTTCTGATAATGGGTGTCTTCTCCCTGTGCAATCAAGGAAACAGCCAAACATGGTTACCAATGGTACATATCCCCTTTTCTGAAATTAGAAATAGAATCCATTTTTATTTGATATATGAAAATCTAACTTCTTCTGTGAAAAATAATCTGAAGTAGCTTTAGGAAATATGGCATGTACCTACAAAACATACTGTTTAAAATCCTACATACTGGCATGATTCCACACAGCGCATGTGCTCTGATCACAGCGATCACAGTGAGAACAGTGTTGAGTAATAATCACAAGAGTAGCCTGGTCAGTTATACCTAATATGAGCCTCAGGGTGGCCTTCCAGGATGCTCTCCTTCAAACTGTTGTGTCAGGAGTCACTTGTAAATACAGTGTTTTCCTAGGCTTTCTGTCTAGATGGAGACTTCCATTTTAAAGGGGGATATATCAGAGTTCAACAGAAGTACCTTTTTTAATTCAAGGAGACCAATGATTGCTTTGAATTTCACAGCCCATGCTCTCTTCTTTGACAAAAGGAAGCAATCATTTGGCAGTTGATGCTGATGCAGCGCTCTGCTGCCTTCAGTCCCCAACGTAAGAGCCCTTTTGGGTGCCTACCCTTCCTTTCTTCCTTGGTCCTCTCACCCGTTCGTGGCCCTGGGGGTAAGGACATGGCTCTCTCCCCTCTCCCTCGGTGAGAATCCCTGCCTGCATGAGGGGGCTACTGGTGAAGTGAGGTGCCCGCGTGAACCGTGTGGGACCACTGGTCTGAACAATCGGAGTCCACATCCTTGACAAGGAGGGGGCTGACTACACACTCTCCACAACAGTTTTTCTAAAACAAACTGTCCAGGCCTGAGACTGTATCTGGTTCCAACCAGATTCTTATTTCCAAACATTTTACAATAAATAAATACAGTACACTTAATAAACCACTTGTAAGTTCGTCGTTTGACCCTACTAAATGCCAGCCAACCGTGAACAGTATTTCTCTTGTCGGTGTTAGTTATGCTGACCAAGTTAATTTTTCCAAGTTAATTTTTGCCAAACAGTCTCATTAAGAAGATTCTAAAGAATGTCACATATAATACTAGTGATGTAAAAAAATTTTAAGTGAACACAGTAATAACTATGGCACTGGTTGTCAGTACTAGCTGAAGGAATATAGCTACCAGTGTAGCCCACGTTGTTAACAGACTATTTCACACACCCGCTTCCCACAAGGGACCCCTGTCCCCAGGCCTGTGTCTGACTTTCCTGGTCAGGCTTGGAGGTGCACACTGGGGTCCACCATGGCACAGCCAAACGGCCCATCATATACACTTTGGCCCAGAGAATGGGCCCTGCAGTACCACGCATGCACACACATGCTGTCGGTATTTTGCAAAGGAGGGCCCTGCATTATGGTGCACTGTTCTGAGAGGTTAGAGATCTTGAGCTGCAGAGGGTAGCAGGTGGGACGTCAGACTCCGTGTGGAGCCTGGGCCATCACCGGCACCCCTCTTTCATCAACCACGGCAAAACTCAAGGACGGGGTCCTCCCAGTTCTGCTCTTTGAAGCTGGTTCATCTCAGGCAAGTGCGATAACATTTCTGAAATTCAATTTCCTCACCTCTAAAATGGAGTTGAGCACACAGGATTGGGAAGATCAAATGCAGTAATACAGAGCAAGCATACTACAAATTGTAAAGTAATAATAATAATGATGATAGCAATTAGTGTTTATTGATGACTATGCAAGCCAGGCACTGCTCTATCCTCACAACAACTCTGAGAGTTAGACACTATGATTATCCCCATTTTAGAGACAAGGACTAAAGCTCAGAGAGTCTAACCAGGACCTCCCATCATCAAATAGGCACAGCACCGTGCATGCTCTGAGCCAACACGTTGTTCTGGGATATGGGAGCAATGCATGCTGCGTCAACACAGCCAAACTGGAACCGTGCTTCCCAGAAGCGCTAGCATTAAAACTAGGATGGTGTCATCAGCTTGAAAGAAAAATTCTAATGACAAAAATGGTGCATCACTCACACTCTGAAGGCGCAGAGACCAACAGTGTAAGTAAAGCAAAGACATTGACCATTCTGCGTCAAAATGTTTCAAGGAAGTACTAGGAATGCCGAAACAGGTTTATTTCACTTCTACTTTCCTTTTTATATCTGCACAGAGTGATAACTGGGCAAACTGTCTAAATAGATTTAAAAGAGTTCTTTTAATAAGGATAGAACTAAAATTGCTAACTGATAAGAAAGCTATGTGTCAGAGCTGAATTGGCAATGTTTTCTTCTTTTTTGTTGGGACATAAAAAATGGTGCATCACACAATCAGTGGGTCAGAGCTGATGAAATATCTGAATCAGTCTGACACAGTAATGTTATGCAAAACAGTTATCACGTTGCATGGTAATAAGGCACCTCCTAAGCTATTCATGGAAAAAAATTGTAATGCTATGTTTACAGTCAAATCAAGCTTGTTTTGCTCTTTCCTACTTGGTTTATTCTCCAATACCATGGATTTACTTCATGGTGCCTGCCTCAACCACAGCCTCTAAAAGGTAAAAACTAAAAGGTGACAAGGCCAGCCCACTGGACCTGGAACAGCCCATGCTCTAGAAGGCAGCCAGTGACCGGGATTTCTGGGCCTGACCCATCTGCTGCCAGCAGAGGGTCTCAGGGTCTGGGTGGCCAAGTCTGCCAAGAGAGGAGTAGGGGGGCAGGCAGTGGAGCCAAGGCAGAAGACTGTGTGGCTCTGAGGTGGTCAGTGGTGGCCTTGGCAACCAGAACTTTCCTGGTTCCACTCCCGGGAGGCCTGACTGAGCTTTCAGCAAGAGATCTGTGGCTTTCCAATAAACTCCTTCCTTTGTATGTAAACCAGCTGAACAGCATGTGCTCCGTGCAATGAAAACAGTCTAACTATGATGTTCAATATCTATAAACATCATCCAGGTGGACAACACCTCTACCACAGAGGGGACAAGAGGGAGGACTGGCCCAGTGGTGTAGTGGTTAAGTTTGTGCTCTCTGCTTCAGCAGCCCGGGGTTCATGGGTTCAGATCCCAGGCCACGCTGTGGTAGCATTCCACATACAAAACAGAGGAAAGCTGGCAGAGATGTTAGCTCAGGGCCAATCTTCCTCACCAAAAAAAAGAAAAAGAAAGAAAGAAAGTGACAAGAGGGAGATGCACCAGACAACAGGAATGTGAGGTGAACGAGCGACTGCTCCCAGGTGTTGAAGTGAGCACTGGTGAGGGTGAGGGCACAACAAACTAGCCCTTCACAAAAGCAAATTAACGTAACTTGAAACAATTAAAAAAGGGAGCAGGGGGCCGGCCCCGTGGCCAAGTGGTTAAGTTCACGCGCTCCGCTTCAGGGGCCCAGGGTTTTGCGGGTTCAGATCCTGGGCACGGACATGGCACTGCTCATCAAGCCATGCTGAGGCGGCATCCCACATGCCACAACTAGAAGGACCCAGAACTAAAATACACAACTGTGTATTTTAAAAACTATGTATTTTATGTAAAATAAAATCTTAAAAAATAAAATAAAAAATAAATAAAAATAAAATAAAAAAGGGAACAGAATCAGATACAACATAGTAATAGTAGATGCCTCTATAGTTAGGTTATAATCTTAACCAGTTTTTCCTTATAAAATTGCTGGTCCAGGGACTGTTTGTTACTAGTCTAAGAGGAGATGACAGAAATTAAGAGTAACTGTTTGGAAGCTTTTACAGCAATTCAATATTGCTGTGACATCCAAGCACATGACCATTTTTCCAGTAATTAATTTTTATTGTATTTTATAAAAGTTGTGTTCTACAACAGATCAGGGGGAAAAAACTGGTCTCCTACTACAGACAGTTTTAGAAACACTGGTCTAAACACTAATCAAAAGCTACTTCTCCCCTGCTTTCAAAGCCACTACTGGCTTCCCACTGACTGAGAATAACCGGTTCTTATCCTGGCCCAACCAGCCCCACTGGCCTCGCCTACCCTATTGCCTAGAACTCTCCTCCTCGTGCTCCAGCCACACAGGCCTACTCCATGGTGGCCTCGAGCCCTCTGCACTAGCTGTCCCTTTGTTTGGAACACTGTCCCCATCACTATCTAACACAGCGGCCTGTTTCAGTCACTCATAACACTTACCCCTGTGTAGAACTCTTAATCATCTTTCCTTGTTTTTACTTTCTCTCCATCTCCTCATCAGAGTGTGAGCTCCACATGGGTGGGAACTGTGTCTATCGTGTCCCATTGTGTCCCCACCTCAGGAACAGCCCATGGCATGTAATGGGGAGTGAGACAGCCTCTCCTGCATTGTCTAACTCCACCACTCTTCCAGGTGAGCCTGTCCTTCCCTAGCCAAGTCATCTCTGCCTCATCTGACACTCACTGGACAAAGAGAAAATTAGCTCGAGCAATTCACTTTCTCGAATGATTTCACTTTCATACAGATTCTCTCTACAATAGACTATATATTCTTTGAATATCAGAAAACGCATCTCTTTACCTTCACCAGACCTTGTACATGCTGTGCATATAAGTAAACAACTCAATAAAGCTTGTGTGATCATTCTCTCACTTCATTATCTTATTCCTTGGTATTCAATAGTGCTACTTAATATTCTTATAATCCAAGAGAGTAGTAATTTAAGTTAAATGATTTGTTATTCTAGTAGCAGAAGCTTTAGTGATTGATTTGGTTTTCAGTAAGTCAGCATCATTGTCAACAAGAGCAAATAATTAGAAAACGCCTATTCATTTGAAAGTAGCCAGCCAGAGCCAGGAAGAGAGAGCCGGGGAAGCTAAAGAGCGTAGGAGCTAAGGTTTCAGAGCCAGACCTGAGTTTAAGTTCTGGCTCTACTACTTATTAACAAGTTACCCTTTGAGTTATTACTTAACCCTTCAAGCCTCAATTTCCTCATCTGTAAAATGGAGATAATAGTGCCAACCACATAGGGCTGTCCAGAGGCAGTACATGTGGTGGTTAAGAACACGCACTCTGGAACCAGGCTAAGTTCAAACTCTAGTTCTGCCACTTACTAGGTACACAGCCTCGGATAAGTTATATCTCGCTCTCTATGCCTTGATTTCTTCATCTTTAAAATGGGGATAATAACAATATCTGCCTGCTACAGCTGTTGTGAGGGTACAAACAATTAATTCTTATAAAGTGTTAAGAACAGTGCCTGGCATGTGGTTAGCACTCATGAACTCGTTAGCTATCATCATTATCACTGTATTTCATCAATTCTAAGGCAGACTTTTCTCCCCTTATATGTTAACAACTCTGAAATCAGGATGCATATTCCACTATTTAGTATCTTACAATCACTGTCAGCCATTTCCCCCATCTTCTAATATCTCTGAGACTAGATGCCCCTTACCACGGACAGCATCTTAGATCCAGGACACTGAGCAGAGCCCCGGCCCAGCCTACGGAAGACATTCAATATTTCTGTAATGAATGAATGTCTGTTGATCTATAACATAACAGTCTTTTCTATAACCTCTCTCTATAGACAGATACTGAAAGAAATGATTTCATTTTCTCCAATAGTACAATTCCCCTACCACTGGAAACTAGAAAGATATTTACTTCTAAACAAAGCTTTCTCAAATGTCTAAGCACATAGAAACTTCCCAGAAATTATCCCCTCCCTTTGAGTTTTAAAACATCACACTCTAGGAAACAACAATCAGAATTCTAATATAAGATACATATCTTACACCAAAAGAATTGTTACTAAACAAAGGAAGTAATTATGTAGATTCATTAAAAAGCAAAATGTTAGCTTACTGATAAAAAGATTACTGTAAATGAACTAATAAAATTTAGTGGTTGTTTCTCCTGGTTGTTTTTGCTACTTTATCCTGATATGTTAGATACATATACACAGAGAGGATCAAAGTGAAGAATCTATGTCAGATAGTATTTGAAAACGTAATCAGAGAAACACCTCATTTATCTAGGCTGATGCTTAATAAGTGAAATTTCCAGATAAATAAGGTTTACTCGTGGAACATAAAACTCTTCCCTACTGTAATCACTTTAAACAGGAATCTTTTAAAAACCTTTTACTCACTTTCCTCTCCTCCCCCCAGTGCTCACCGAGGTGGTACGGTACCACAGTCCACCACGTGCTTGTGCTTTCTCTAACCTCCCTTGGGGAATCTGGAGACTCGTGACTTTTGCCCGGACTGCTCTCATTTGGTTCTTCACTGTTCTCATGTCCGTGTTTTACACTTTCAGTCTCCTCCATCATGAGACTGTCACCTATCACTTCCGTTACTGCTGGTGTGCCAGGTTCTAGAAGCTCCTTCTAACTGCTCTATTTTGAATAGATTTCAGACCAAGAAATCAGATAACTAAGTTTGTTAGAATTGTACGTAAAACAAGATTAAACAGAGACCTGAGTGAAGGGCTTACCTATGAATAAAATCGTAACTTATAAGAAATATTATATATTCCCAGATATAAGACAATCTCCTATTTTCCCAAAAAGATCCAAAGGTTTTTGGATCCAAAAGTTTCACGTCAACTTTTATGGATTCAGAAAAATGTGTCTACTTATTCTATTTATTAGTAATTTACTAAAATATACATATTTTAAATCACATATAAAATATAGTAATCTGATACAATGCTCTTGTCCACTCTCCCACTTCATAGAAACAATTTTCTCTGAACTCTTCACAAGCATCTTCAACATCAGTGTCTTCTCATTGCAAGAACAGCTTCTTGATCTAAAAGCTTTCCATAGCACATCACGTTCAGTGTGGCCTAAATTGTTTGAGATAATACAACAGTTTTTAAATCATCTATAACGCTGAAACCAAAATTCTATTCCAAGCCATAAGCAGTCACTCACATGACATTAAGGAGGTTGATTTTTTTTCCATTTGTCCAATAGGCATAATGTGATCTGTGAAATATAGCACTTTCTGAGCTACTTTTTCAGCAATATTTACAAGGCTCATTTGTCCTGACATCTACCACAACAGCGAGGTCAGATCCCCAGGGATATTTGCTAAATGTGGGTCAACCATCTGCCTCCTTTTCTCTGTTTCCCTCAGGTGACCTGCATAAGCCTCCAAAACCAGCCTGACTGAGGTTGGCCCAGGCGAATGTGCTTTCCTAAACAGTGCTTTACTGTTCAAGAGAAAGTACACGAGTGAGCACCCTGCAACACAGGAGACCCTGTAAGGATCCAAACATAAGGAGGCTCCCTCTCATCTGAGGGGTTATTTGTGGGGAAAGCCCTGCTTCATTTCAAGGCACAGAATAGAATGTTGAGCAACAGCAGGTCCCAGGAGAAGAGGGGAAATTCAGAGGGGGACAGGCCTGGGTGCACAGCCCCCCTGCAGGGACCCACAGTGACGGAGGCCTAAGCAGCCCTGCTGTCCTCTGCACCAGCCTCACCCACATGACCTGGCCAGCCTGAAGGCCTTGTGGTTGTGCTTCTCACGTGCAGCATGTTCTGAGTAGATGAGACTGCCAGAAAAACACCTCTGCAGAGTGAAGTAGTCCAGTACCGCGCATTTATATACAACTACTGCACTACGGTGACTAAGGATTTTGAGAACTAAAACAGAGCATATGTGAGCTACAAGCTTTAAAAGATCTTAGATTAGTTGTCAAATTAGTCTACGTACCTCGGATTAGCTCATAAATATTCATGTCCATAAGTTCACATATTAGTGCAAGAGAACCAGATTTTCTGTCACTGAAGAAGAAAGCAGGTTTTTAAAATGCTTTTTCTTTTCTTAATCAGAAAACATAATCAAATACTTAATTCATTTGTAAACATTTCTGGTAAACATAAAGCACTACCACATCAAATGAAGACTGAAGTGCAATGATTAAAACAGTAGAAGTTTTGATTTTAAATCAATATTTCAGGTAAAATTAATTTAAAATAATAGTTAAATTCTACTTTAAGAAAAAAATTTTAAAGCCCTCCCCTGCCATATTTTAAAGACATGTGTCTTGAAAATATAAAATTAACTATCAGCAGAAAGAAGAAATGAAGTTGGGAGTTGGCTAAGCAAAACAATCAAAGAAAGAATAATTTAATTCATGCTCTGTGACTGCACGTTTAGTTTTAATTTACCTAAATTACATCCATGTAACTGGGATACAATACAACGTGGGAGCAAAATCCCAAAACCAGTCAGGGCAGAGAGGGAGAAAGATGAGTCACACCACACCCATGCCATGTCCAGGCCTTGCACAGAGTGCGGACAGAGGACTCTGGCCGAGCCACCAGCTTCTCCTGAGTTCAAACAGCTCTTAAAGGGATCCCTGAGCCCCAGCCAGGGGAGCCCATGTCACCCCCAGGTCCTGCTTGGGGTGCCTCTGGTGGGACTGGAAGGGGTCCTCACTGTCTCTCAGGGCTGTGAGGAGGCCCATGTGCAATTCTGGGCGAAGTGCTCTGTAAAGTGCAGGCCAAGCACCCTTGCACGGGCAGTGCTGTGACGATCACATGCAGATGCAGTCTCTAGCCCTGGCCCAAACTGATGGCTCGACATTTCATCTGAGTTTAAAGCTGTTCAATCCTCTAACGAAAGGCCACTGCACTTTAATTGTCAGAGACTGTTGTCTCCTGGCTGGTTGTAAAGGCCAGGTTCCCTGGAGCACTGCAGCGAGGCCTCACTCTGCTGTGCACCTGCTCAGAGCTCAGCGACGCTCCAGCCCACAGAAAGGCAGCTCCCGGAGTCTCATGGCCCGAGTTCCTGGCTCGGGGTCCAGAAGTATAGTACAGAGCTGCCAGCACCTGGGGACAAGGTGTGCTCTGCCTTCTTGATCAGAAGGTAAACCTTAAGGAAACTATTCTATAATTAGAAAAGAAATAAAAAATCCCCTGAAATTCTATCAATTATAGTAAGAAAGGCTACACAAGACTGTGCAGAGATGGCCACTGGCAGGGACAGAGTAAACACAATCCCTGAAATAGGACAGCAGTGCTTTCCTAGTACGTCATAATTCACACTTGAGGCCTCAGATGCCCAGAGTCACTATCGTCCACACAGAAGCTAACTGAGCTAAAGAAGAGGAGACATTTGAATTATGTATGCTTTTATGATATGGAGTCACTTAAATGAAGGCATTTCCACATCAGGAATCAGATGCACATTTGTCCAAATAAACGTGGCTTAAGATAAAATAAATATGATTACTCTCTGAGCCACAAAGCAAATACTTAAAATGTCTACTCTGATTTTCTTTCTTAAAAAGAGATTTAATCATTATCATCAAATTTAGATAATTTTTAAAGCCCCCAAAATACTTACAAAACCACTTCATGCAACATAAGAATGTTTGGGTGTGGATTCAGGCGCCTCAGTGCTTGTATCTCTCGTAGATTATTCACTTGCTCAATACTATTGTGTAAGTAAAAATGAATAACTAATTTATAATTTAGGTCAAATTTAAAATTAGGGTTATTAAATTATTATTTATTATCCATGATCACAACTGCAAAACTCAAAAATATGTCAAGTAAGTTAATCAGGTTTTATTTCTGCCATTAGCAGTTGAAGTTACGCATATCTCGTTTCTGCATTATCTCATAAAAATGAAGGTTTTATAGCTTTGGACATATATTCAAAATTTTCCCATCTAAGCTCCTAAAGGAATACTTTGGTAGTTTCCTTTACAATTAACAAACATAGAAACAGATATTAAAATTTTCTATTAATCAGTTTCTGGCAACTAACCAACAGGGCAACGTAAATACCCTCTAAAAATAAGTATTTTAAATTTCCATGAACAGACCCGTCCTTCCTTCTTATCTCTAATGAAGGTTGACATTTTTTCAATTTCACGCACCTGGTGACAGGTGTTCTCTCAGTAGGTGTGTCTTACTGCAGGCTTTTCTTTATGAAGAGTGCCCTGTCTCACACCGCGCTCACATCCAAAATCACACCAGCACAAGTTTAATAGAGGTCAACGGCCTGAGGCTGTCACTGGCCTCTGGACAGATCTGTACAAGAGACACACCTCCCCATGGATGGGCCCATGGAGTCATACCCAAACAAATGACCCGATCCACCAGAGACTTCCATCTTGGAGGTTCTGAAAGGAACTAATTGTGGGAATATTCTTCTTTCTTTGGCAAAACTCTGTTCTACCAATTTTTAACATATAGTGTAAAGCTCAGCATCTTGTTTGGTCATTAAAAGAGTAGTTATATCCAATAATATATTATTATTGTTTTAAATCAATGTGGCCAAATATTTTAAGTCTCTCTCATACTAGCCAACAAACGGGGAGCCTGATATATAAGAAGAGTCTGAATAATCTGAGTGTAAGAATATTTCTGACTAAAAGTTTTAGATCCCTTCTTCATTACTATCCCCTATTTCCTCCCTCACACCCAGGATGATATTCAAAATGTTAGCAGCTTGTGTGCCATGGTCAACAAGCAACTAGAAAGACAAAGCCCACAATGCTGGAGCAGAGTCCTAAAGGCGTTGAACCAGGCACTGAGAGGGGAGGTCGGAGGAGCGCTGAGCAGTGGGCCAGGCGCAGAGTGGCAGGTTGGGGGCAGCACTCAAGAGGCTCAGGTTAGCAGTTAGCCACCACCCAGAACACGAGTCTTTCACTATTGTAATAACCATCATGGATGGCCATACTGATGTTTACAGGGACCATATCATGACACCGTCTATTCATTACATCAGCCTAGTACCCACCCCAACACCTGCTCCTCATCAGCACCCTGGACCACAGAACCAGGGCCTCACCTACATGCCTCTGGAACAGTGCTCCCCAAAATATGTGCCACAGAACATTAGTTCTCTGGAAAATGCTTTGTGAAGAAATTTCATGTTCAAAAAGCTTGAGAGAGGCCCACTCTATTTCCTTTTGGAGAGCCACAATTTACAGCTGATATTAAAAGATTTCAAAAACCCTACTAAACAAAGAAAACAGTTTACTTTTATTTAACCCAAAAATTCCCAGAATTTTTGGTACCAGGATTCTTTCTTACTTACTACTGAGTTCCCATTCCTTAGAACTAGGTCTCCAGAGAATACAGCACTCCAGACTACCCTTTGAGCGACATGATAGAAATAGCTTTTTTTCTTAGGAGAGCGAAGATGAATAAAGACAGCAATAAGGCAAAAAGAAGAAAAAAAGACCAAGTAAAACATTCTTTTGGGGGCATTTACATAACCGATTATAGAACATCATTCAATCCCCTTTCCTGGGGTCTGCATTGGAAGAGGCCACCAAGACTCTTCTTCATGTTCCCACACCACGAGAGGTCCCTGACTCAGGACCAGGCTGATGAAGAACCCTCACCTCCACCTGGTGCCTGTCATGCCTCTGCCCGTGGCATGCCACAGGTAGCAGTTCTCAACCAGGGAACTTTGCTCCCCATGGGACATTTGACAATGTCTGGAGACATTTTTAGTTGTCACTAGTTGAGGAGGGAGTAATCCTGGCATTCAGTGGTAGCAGCCAGGGATGATGTTTTAAATATCCTATAATGCACAGGACAGGCCCCACAACAAAGAATAATCTAGGCTCCCCAGTGGTGTAGTGGTTAAGTTTGCCCCCTCTACTTCAGCGGCCTGGGGTTCGCAGGTTCAGATCCCAGGCATAGACCTAGCACCGTTTGTCAAGCCACACTGCAGCGGCATCCTACATACAAAATGGAGGAAGACTGGCACAGATGTTAGCTCAGCAACAATCTTCCTCAAGCAAAAAGAGGAAGATTGGCCCTGAGCTAACATCTGTTGCCAATCTTCCTCATACACATGAAAAAAGAATAATCCAGGCCCAAATGTCAATAGTGCCAAGGTTAAGAAATCCTGCTTTAGGTGGAAAGAGCAAGAAACCAACTGGAGGTAGCAATTCTAATTTGTGAACACCCTATTTGAAAAAAATTAGTTTCTAGAACTAGGTAGTCAAAAAGCCATGTCATTTACACAAACAAATAGTCACTATTCTCATTTTTTTTTTAAAGATTTTATTTTCCTTTTTCTCCCCAAAGCCCCCAAGTACATAGTTGTGCATTTTCAGTTGTGGGTCCTTCTAGTTGCGGCATGTGGGATGCCTCCTCAGCATGGCTTAACGAGTGGTGCCATGTCCGCGCCCAGGATCCAAACCAGTGAAACCCTGGGCCGCCGAAGCAGAGCACGCAAACTTAACCACTCAGCACGAGGCCGGCCCAACTCTTCTCATTTTTAATATGAAAGCCAGTTACATACCCTGAAACATATTTTGTTTATTACAGACAGAATTATTTTATGCCTCCACAGGCATTCACTCTGAAATAACGAACTAATAAAAACATTAGAAAGGCATATTTTTCTGGGTATTGCTAGCCTTTGTTCAAATAAAAGTACTTAATAAAATTCTAATCAACTCTGTTCCTTCTTTTAAATATCATGGGGAAAAAAAATCTAAAAATCTGGAAGTAACCACTTTTCTTTGCCCTGGAGTTGCTTTGAATTTTGTGGTCAGGTGACATTTAGTTAATTTTTTTTTTACTGTTCTGCAGGAAACAAAATATATCATGGAATTGAACATAGAGGAATGTAGGCAGCCTCTCCTTCAAAAAGAACTAGATGATATCTACCATAAATGGATTTTCTCTACAATTGGAAAAAATTACAATTACCAGGATTAAGTCTTTAAAAAAATAACTAAAAGATTAATTATGAAATTTCTGCATTTGATTCTTTTAATCTTTTTTTTAAGATTTTTTTTTTTTCCTTTTTCTCCCCAAAGCCCCCCAGTACATAGTTGTATATTCTTCATTGTGGGTCCTTTTAGTTGTGGCATGTGGGACGCTGCCTCAGCGTGGTTTGATGAGCAGTGCCATGTCTGCACCCAGGATTCGAATTAACGAAACACTGGGCCGCCTGCAGCAGAGTGAGTGAACTTAACCACTCGGCCACGGGGCCAGCCCCTGCATTTGATTTTATTGGAAGGATTTTATGGAAAGTAAGTTTATCTAATCAATCCAATCTGTAGGAAGAAAGTCCTTAACGTGAAAGGGAAAAAGAAGTGGTTACATTAATATTAGATAAAATAGATTTCAAAACAAGGATTTTTATTATTTATGATTTCATGATGATAAAAAGGGTCAAGACATCAGGAAGACAGGACAATCATAAATATGGATGTGCTAAATAACAGAGCTTCCATACACATGAAGTAAAAACTGGCAGAACTTAAGGAAGAAAGAGTTGGAAATGTCAACACCCTTTCTCCATAACTGATAAAACAATCATCCAAAAAATCAGTAACGATACAGAAGATCCTAATAGTGTTATTAACCACCTTGACCTAATCGACATTTATATACAGTATATTCATCACCTACAGAAAAATATGCTTTTCAAGTATATGGGGAACATTCACTCAGATGAACAATATGCTGGACCCAAAGATAAGTCTCAATAAGGGCCAGCCCCATGGCCGAGTGGTTAAGTTCGTGGGCTCCACTTTGGCGGCCCAGGGTTTCGCCAGTTTGGATCCTGGGCACAGACATGGCACTGCTCATCAAGCCACGCTAAGGCGGTGTCCCACACAGCACAACCAGAAGGACCTACAACTAGAATATACAACTATGTACTGGGGGGCTTTGGGGAGAAGAAGAAGGAAAAAGGAAAAAAGAAGATAGGCAACAGATGTTAGCTGAGGTGCCAATCTTTAAAAAAAGTCTCAATAAATTTCAAAGTACTGAAGACTTACGGAACATGTTCTCTGACCACAATGGACTTAAATTAGGAATCACTAAACAGAAAGCTATCTAGAAAAGCCCCCAAATATTTGCAGAGTAAACAACACATCTGAAAATAACCCATGGGTAAATAAAAAATCACAAAGGAAATTAGAAAACATTTCAAATCAAGTAATAAAGAAAGCACAACATATCAAAATTTATAGGATGCAGGTAAAATAGTGCTTCAAAGAATATTTAATCTTCTAACCAAAGAAATGGTTAAAATCAATTGTCTACGTTTTCACCTTAAGATGGTAGAATAAGAAGTAGTAAATTAAATCCAAAGAAAGTAGGAAAAAAGCAGTAACAAAGAGCAGAAGTCAATGAAATAGAAAACAAACAATAGAGAAAATTAACAAAGCCCAAAGTTCGTTCTTTGAAAAGATTAATAAAACTAACAAAACCCTAGTAAGACCAATGGAGGAAAAAAAGACACAAAAGTCTACCACCACCAGCCAACATCAGGAACGAAAGAACAGCTATCTTTACAGGTCGATATTAAAAAGATAACACAGGAGTATTACGAACAACTGCATGCCAACAAATATGACAATTTAGATTAAACGGACAAATTCCTTGGAAAAGATAATTACCAAATCTAACACAAAATAAAATGAAACTAAAAATAGCCCTAAGTTTAGG